ATTGATTGATTTGAGAATATTCAATCACCCCTGCAATCTTGGGATAAATCCTACTGGATTGTGGTGAACGATTTCTTTTAATGTATCATTGGATTCAATTTGCTGGTATCCCATTGAGGATTTTTACATCTATATTCATCAAAGATATTGGCCTGTAGTTCTCTTTTTTTTGGTGGATTTGTCTGGTTTTGGTATTAGGGTGGTTCTTGCCTCATAGAATGAATTTGGAAATTTACCTTCCTTTTCTATTTTTTGGAATAGTTTGAGAAGAATACATATTAACTCTTGTGTAAATGTTTGTTAGAATTCACCTGTGGAGCCATCTGATTCTGGACTTTTGTTTTCTTGGAGTTTTTTGATTACTAACTCAATTTCCTTTCTAGTAATGAATCCGTTCAGATTTTCTATTTCTTCCTATTTCAGTTTTGATAATTTTATGTTTCTAGGAACTTATCCATTTCTTCTAGGTTGTCCAATTTGTTGGCACATAATTTTTCGTAACATTCTCTTATATTTGTTTGTCTTTCTGTGGTGTGGGTTGTTATTTCTCCTTTTACATTTGTGATTCTGTTGAGCTCTCTCTCTCTTTTTTTTTCTCTCTCTCTCTCTTTCTCTCTCACTCTTTTGATGAGTCTGGCTAGACATTTATCAATTTTATTGACCTTTCTAAAGAACCATCTCCTGGTCATTGATCGGTTGGATTGTTTTTTAGTTCCTTTATCATTTATTTCTGTTCTAATCTTTATTATTTCCTTCCTTCTGCTGGTTTTGGATTTTATTTGTTATTTTTCTAGCTCCTAATTTAGAGGTAAGTTTAGATTGTTTATTTGAGACTTTTTTTGTTTCTTGAAATAGGCCTGTATTGCTGTAAACTTCCCTCTTAGATCCCATTTTTCTATGTCCCAAATATTTGGACTGTTCTGTTTGTAACTGTCTTTTTTTTCTCTTGCCGCTTTTATGATGTTTTTCTTCATCACAACTTTTTTACGATTTTAATTACTATGTGTCTTGTGTGGATCTCCTGCATTGATTTTTTTTGGGGGGGAGTGGGGTGGTTCTCTGTGCCTCTTGGACCTGGATATATGTTTCTTTTCCCAGATTAGGGAATTTTTTCAGCTATTATTTCTTCAGATAAGTTTTTGCCCCCCTTTTTACTCTTTTCTTCCCTGCTATTCCTATAATGCAAGTGTTAATCAGACTTGATGGAGTCACTGAGTTCCGTAAGACTGTTCTCAAATTGCATAATTTTTTTCCCTCTCATTTGCTCAATTTGGTTACTTTCTATTACTCTGTCTACTAGGTCATTAATTCATTCCTCTCTTTCATTTAGCCTTCTATTTATTACATTAAGTGTATTTTTAATTTCATTTATTGTGGTCTTTATCTCTGATTTATTCTTTTTTTAAATCTTTTTGTTAAGTGTCTCACTGATGTCCTCTACTCTTTTCTAAAGTCCAATGAGTATCTTTATGGTCATTACTATAGATTCTCTATCAGGCATATTATGTCTGTTTTGCTTAGGTCTCTTGCTGTGGATTGGTCCAATTCTTTCACTTGGATATATTTCTCTGTTTTCTCATTTTTTGTAATTGTCTGTGTCTTTCTATGTGTAAGGTAAGTCAGTTATAGCTCCTGTTCTTAAAGGTAATGGCCATAAGAAAAAGAGGTCCTAAAGTGCCTTCCAGTGCACCATTCTCTGCTCCCCAGGACCTAGCTCTTTAGGGAGTTTCTCCTGTGGGTATTGCATTTGCCTTGTTGCATTCTTATCTCTTTTTGCATCAGTTTAGTTGTCTGAAGTGGCTCTCTCTGCCTGTTGTGAGTAGTGTTTGGTTCCTGGCAGGTGTAGCCTGCATTTAAACAAAGTACATGCTGGTCTGCCTTCTACTTTAGACCTGGAGCTGCTGCTATTGGTACTGGCCAGCCTAAGCAGATCTGCAAAGGACACTGTCTGAAGGTCTTGGACTTTTAATAAGGTGTGCCTTAGGCTTTTTCAGAGTCTGCCGCCATCAAGACCAAGGCTCTGCAAAAGGCACAGGTTGAGAGATGTAGCACTAGTGAGGTTTATATTGATCTTTTGTGGGAGGAGCTCCACAGTGCTGGGACTGAGGCAAGTGTGACTGGAAAGGGCAGATCCATTGAAGCATGGGGTGGGGGACTTGTTGCAAGCAAGTTAGGTAGGGAGTGTGGGCAAATTACTGGTTCCCATAGGTGGCTATGTGTTTATGCTGGGAGGCAGGGGTGTGAAATGGTGCCTACCAACTCATTTGTTACTGGAGGAGTCTTTCTGAAGTCCCTAACTAATAGGTGCTTCAAGGATGGAGTGTAGCATTCAGAGGAAAGCAGTTTCTCAAGAAACAGCTGGGAGTATTGACACAATATGCAGTCACCAAACTCTCTCTCATTCTTATTTATTATTCCCAGGGGCTACTTTACCCATGTGGACAATGCTCATTTCATAGAACAAATATATGAATAAATATACAAATTCAAAAATCCTAGACTTAAAACAGTGAATGCCATCCATTCTAGAACCATTTATTGCTTGCTGCCTTTTTGTTAGAAGTTAATGCCTCTGACAGAGGTGAAATAAATATAGTGTGAGTTAGGTGTGCAAAGAAAATAAAACATCCTTATAGTCTGTGATCAAACTAATCAATTCCAAAAGTTTCTTCTCCCCTGGAAAGCCAGGCAGAGTTGAGAGGAGGAGGGGAGAGTGGGCAGCACTCTTATTTGTTAACTTGGCTCAGTTTCTTCTGGTTTGTAGTGTCTTTCAGCTAATTTAGTCTCTCTGGTGCAAATGCTCACTTTCCAGAGTTCCTGCCTTTCCCCTGCTCCTCTTTAAGATGGTATCTGGGTATATGATCAGGGTTTATATGACTGCAAAGCGTCTGGTAAGGGATTGTGAATATATGTAAGAAAGTCTTTGTGTTGCCTTCTGGTCTTCTCTGGACTGCCTGCTTTGGTCTCATGCTTCCTCTGCTATCTATTGCAGGACAGGTGGCTTTGTCTAGACTTTGAGTCATCAAATTAGCACCTGTTCCTGAAGCTCATGTCCCATTTGTTTTCCTGTGGTCCTGAAGTCTTCTGTGTGCAGAAGTTTCTTCATCTAAATCCCAGGCCTGGACCAACATCACACATCTATACCCACTCCCCACCCTGAGATACCAGCGACTTCAGGATCTCTGCATACCCTTGCCTGTATAGAGCTGCTGCGTCAGCTTATACTGTGCCATTGCAGTGTTAGGACTTCTGCATTATGCTGGAGTTGAAGCTGAGTGGAGCATAAGTCTTCTTTTATTTATTTTTTTATTTTTTTATTTTTTAAATATTTTATTTATTTATTCATAAGAGACACACAGAGAGAGAGAGAAAGAGAAAGACAGAGACACAGGCAGAGGGAGAAGCAGGCCCCATACAGGGAGCCCGATGTGGGACTCGATCCCGGGGCTCCAAGATCATGCCCTGGGCCGAAGGCAGTGCTAAACCTCTGAGCCACCCAGGGATCCAATAAGGCTTCTTTTAGATTAAAGGCTTGTGACCTGTCCCAGGCTGTGCCTGATGAAGTAGGTCACCAGCCCAGATGATCTTGTTTCACAGATCCATCTGTGTGTTTCTACTGCTCCACCAAGAACACTGACATCTGAGCTCCTTGTTCTACCTTACTTTCACTGTCTCTCCACCCATCCCCATGAGTATTTTACTTGCTAGAAGTGATGGGCTTTTTCCTATTTCTTGTCTTGCGGGGACTTCTTCCTAGATGCACTGAAGCTTTACTTTGATATGAAAAGGTAACCTAAGTTGTCTTCCTCTCCCAAAAATGCCTGCTTCTTAAAATTGGTTTTACTAAAGACTCAAAAAGAAGTTAGTTTCAGTCTCAGAACTGAACATTGCCCTTAGTTTAGATTTGCCTTTGTTCTTAATTATGTATGTGTATATGTCCATGGATGAGTGTGTAGATTAACCCCTTGTCATTTGGTGAAATGTCTGGACCACTTCTCAAAATAATATGTGGGCAGCCTGGGTGGCTCAGCGGTTTAGCACTGTCTTCAGCCCAGGGCCTGATTCTGAAGACCCGGGATTGAGTCCCATGTCAGGCTCCCTGCATGGAGCCTGCTTCTCCCTCTGCCTGTGTCTCTGCCTCTCTCTCTCTCTCTCTCTCTCTCTGTGTGTGTGTGTCTCTCATGAATCAATCAATCAATCAAAATAAAAGAAATAAATAAGAAGGCCTAATAATTACTTTAATTATTAGTAATAGTTACAGTAGTATTCGATATTTTCAAGGTATTTGCAATAAATATAAATATAGTATGAAAATACTCTTTTGATGGTGACATCACAAGTAATGATTCAGCTATAGATTGTTGACCACATTCATGATGAAAGGAAATTATTAATTTCAACAATAAACTAGTGAAAAGATTTTCCTCTTTAAGTTCATGTACCCATAGATTCTATCTCTGGACCCTTGCAGGGTCTAGATCCATATTCTAGATTGTATCTGATTTTCCTATGAAGGAATAGGTATTACTAGGTGAGAAACTACAAGGAGCAAGATTTATAAACTATGAAAATACAGATAAGGATATTTTAGAAATTTTCTCTATTAATGCAGTCCTTTAGGGAAAAATTATTGATACATAAGTTTGAAGTGTGGTATAGTTGAATGTTTTGTGTTTTTCTCTTTTCCACATATCATCCATTGCCTAATTACCCAGACGGGTTCTAGCATTTGATGCTTTATTTAGTATTTAACTAACACTTTATATTTACCTGGTATTTTAATATGAGTTTTGCTTCTCAAATATTATTTTTGAGTAAGATATAAAAAGTGTTTTTTAAAAAGTAGAAATCTAGTTCTTTGAGGGGTATATTTGAAGAGAGGGAGTTAGATTTTTTCGTTGGCCCTGAATGGGAGAATCTATTATCAACTAATCAAAAAAGACCAGCTTTGATCTGCCTATTTTCATGAAATGATTGTATGTGTCTTTGTATTTATTTAGTTCTGCCAGCTAAGCCTGAGAACATTTCCTGTATCTTCTACTACGAGGAAAATTTTACTTGCACCTGGAGTCCAGAGAAAGAAGCCAGTTATACATGGTACAAAGTGAAGAGAACTTAGTAAGTATGGGAGCTTGTGTGCTATCAGTGGGAGTAAGGGAAGGAGGCAGAGACTCCTGGTTCATTCTTGGTTCTAGTCAATTATGAAGTGAAGTGTTTTCTCCATTACAGCTTCTTGGTGACCCCTATTTGCGTTCATTGTCTGGGGTGACATCTTGGCTACTGTAGCCATGCTGACAGGATCTGTAGCTACAGAGGGAGAGGAGGTGTAACTTTATGATGACCTCCTCTGAGAAGCCCTGAATCAGCTGAGAATAGTCACCAGTAGAAAAAATCTGTTTGTTTACTATATTCAGCTATATTTGTCCTCTTTCCATAATGTGTCATAAAACTGTTCCTTTTTTATGGATCTAATTATAGTAAGTGAGGTTACAAACCCAGAACTAAGGTAAATTTTTCTCAGTTTGCCACTTATTTGCTTGTGACACTTGTCAAAAAGTATTCCACCCGGACAGTGATTCACACATTTGTCACTACCTCAAGCATCCCTTTTTATTCTAATTCTATTAGGATAAAAATTATAAAATTTTTATTATAATTCTAGCCAAAAGCTAGATGTTTTAGTGAGCATTTGCAGAGAATTTTTTGAAATTTTAAAAATAGCTCATAAAACCCTTTATGTCCTTCATGTTCCCCTAAGAATAAGGAAGCCCATGTTAGGAAATATTGAAAGATTATCTTTAAATTTTTTCTGTTTCAAAAAGAAAGTCTGTAATTCCAAGTTTCTGTTTTGTTTTGTTTTTAAATACAAGATCTTATTTATATGTATTTTCCCCCCACCCCTTGGAAATTGGTAACTAGTGTTGTACGGAAAGTATATGTCATTTTTTATGGTAGGATAAAAGGAAAAAAGCAAACACTATCCTTTGCAGTACTCATATATCAATGATATGTCAGAGAGATGATTTAAAACAGAGGTCAGGAAACTTTTTCTATAAAGGGACAGATAGTAAATATTTTAGACCTAGAGGAGATTGTGTCTCTGTGAAAATATTTAACACTCCTGCTATAGCAGGAAAGCTGCCATAGACAATGTGTAAACCAATGGACCGGACTGTTGTCCAGTGAAACTATTAGTGAACACTGAAATTTGAATTTCATATAATTTTTACATGCCACAAAGTTTTTTCTTTTTATGTATTTTCCCCAACCATTTAACAATATGAAACCTGTTTTTTTTTTTTTTAAGGATTTTATTTGTTTATTCATGAGAGACACAGAGAGGCAGAGACATAGGCAGAGGGAGAAGCAGGTTCTCTGTGGGGAGCCTGACATGGAACTTGATCCCAGGACCCCAGGATCACGACCTGAGCCAAAGGCAGACGCTCAACCACTGAGCCACCGTCCCTATAAAACCTGTTCTTAACCTGTGGGCCATACAAGAACAGGAAGTAGGCTATACTTGGCCTGCAGGCCTACTTTGCTGAGCCCTGCTTCTGAAAATGAGTGATAAAGGCCCAATAATCCATGGTCCAAGTGTTTTATCTTCCCTCAGATTTATTAGTTCTAGGCCCGGTATTGAATAGAAAGTACCTGTAGAATGAAAATCTAGAACCTCCGTAAGTGTACTCCTATTTTTTCTTTTAAGGAGTCATTCGACCTCTTCCATCACTCCCTGTGCATTATCATTCTCACCCATTGGTCATGTAAAAGTAGGAAGCACCTGGTTGTGTTTTCCTTAAGATTTTATTTATTTATTTCAGAGAGAGACAGAACACGAGAAGGTGGGGTGGCGGGAAGGGGCAGAGAGAGAGAGGGCCTAGCTGACTCCTCGCTGAGCAGGGAGCCCAATGTGGGGCTCAGTCCCACTACCCTGAGATCATGACCTGAGCTGAAGTCAGGTGCTTAACCAACTGAGCCACCCAGGTGCCCCAGGCCTTGGTGTTCTTAGGCCTGTATACAACCCTTATTGATGGCTCGGGCCTGCTGGGATCTCCAGGACTCCCAGATTGGTTTGTACTTTTCTAAGCTTATCACTGAGAATATCTCTTCAAGCTAGAATGGGAAGATTTCTTGTGGATGGGCAACCCTTAGAAGGGATGATGTTGGGTCAGTGGTATGAACAAAAAACCTACTGATGATCAGAAATGATAGAATGGCTTTTTCCTTGGGGAAGAATAAGAGGAGTTGGGATGCCTTTCTGGAGGTAGTGACTTTTGAACTGAGAGGTAAAGGAGCTCTAGAGGTGCAGAAAAGGGAAGAAGGGAAGAAAGGGTATTTCTTAAAGGTTATAGCATGAATAGATGCAAAAATATTCAACTATAGTAATAGTACTAATAACAATGATAGTAACATCTCACTTTTTGACTAAGTGGCTGACATTTTAAAAGTACTTTATGTATATCAGCTTATTTCATCCTCCTAACAGTGCTATGTTATAGATATATTACTATTCTCATTTTAGAGATGAGTAAACTCAGGCATGGAGAGGTTAGGAAACTTGCCCAAGGCATAGGATTCAAACCTGGCCAGCTTTCAGAGCTTGTGCTTTTAACCACAAACCAATATTACTCTGGAGGCCATTTTTACACTGCACAATAACCATAGAAAACCTTTAAAGTCTTTTTTACTTTCAAAATTTTATTATTCTATATATTTAAGCTCTGCTCCTTTGCCCTCAGCCCCAGCCAACACTGGCATCTTGCAAAGTGGGGCCTTTTCTATTCTCTATTTCATCTCTGATATCATTCCCATAGCCATGGAGACTCTGACTATACCTACCCATCTGATTTCTACCAATCTTTTTTTTTTTTTTTTTAAATTTTTATTTTATTTTATTTTATTTATTTATGATAGGCACACAGTGAGAGAGAGAGAGGCAGAGACATAGGCAGAGGGAGAAGCAGGCTCCATGCACCGGGAGCCCGATGTGGGATTCGATCCCGGGTCTCCAGGATCGCGCCCTGGGCCAAAGGCAGGCGCCAAACCGCTGCGCCACCCAGGGATCCCTGATTTCTACCAATCTTTGTACTTGTGTTCATTAAGTTGTAATTTGATAGGATTTAAGTTACCTATATGTCTAAGGAAAAAAATTTAATGAGTTGTCTGAAAACAATATATGCCAATGGTAAAAAATTCAATCTGAAAAATAAAAAGAATGTAAAAAAAACCTTGAAATTCCATCACTAAAGGTAATAACTTTAACATTTTGATGAATACTTTTCCAGACATCTCTAAGAATAGTTATTTTTTTTTTAAATAAGAAGACTTCATTTTTTTTAAATTTTATTTATTTAATCACAAAAGACACACACACAGAGAGAGAGAGAGAGAGAGAGAGAGGCACAGGCACAGGGACAGGCAGAGGGAGAAGCAGGCTCCATGTAGGGAGCCCGATGTGGGACTTGATCCCAGGTCTCCAGGATCACATCCTGGGCCAAAGGTGGCACTAAGCCACTGAGCCACCTGGGCTGCCCTAAGAATAGTTATATAAATATATAAGTTTATATAAATGTGATTATTCAATACTTAATATGCATCCTTTTTTTTTCTACCACCAGTAAGAGTACAGGCATCTTTCCATATCAATAACTATAGATGTATTAAAAACTGTATTTTAAATTCTGTTTATATATCTACCACTCTTTATTTAACAAATGCTCTTTGTTTTTTTTTTTAAGAATAACTTCTCAAGGCTAGAATCTGGGGTTTTCAGGATCCTAGTCAGTATTTCTTATCATTAGGAGATGTATTACAAGCATAGATTTTGGTGGACTTACAGAGTTGCAATTGCAAGGAAGTCTCCATGGCTCATAGCATCTCAGGCAAAAAGCAGGTAACTGATCTCTCCTGGGAAGAGATGAAGCAATTTGGAGAGAGGCATCATATTTGGGTTGATATAGTCCTCAAGAGAAACCCAGAATGAAACTAATAAATACATGCTTAATATGTTACGTATGACTTTGTTTCCAAACTGCTGTACTAAACTCATGTTGAATTGCTTTTTCCTTCAAAGCTCTTATGGATATAAAAGTGATATTTGCTCAACTGATAATTCTACAAGGGGAAATCATGCTTCTTGCTCCTTTCTTCCTCCAACAATAACAAACCCAGATAATTACACCATTCAAGTAGAAGCTCAAAATGCAGATGGTATAATGAAATCTGATATAACATATTGGAACTTAGATGCCATAAGTAAGTATCATTTTTATTCTTATATACTCATTTTTTTTTTCTCAAAGAGGTGAAGACCCAAAAGTGATTCAAAACTCAAGGATATGGTAGGTACGTGTTAGGCGTATACCTAGAGTTATGGATATGTATGAGGGTTCCTTTTTCTTCACATCTTCACCAATGCTTGTTATTTCTTGTCTTTTTCTCATACCATTCTGACTAGTATGAGGTGGTATCTTATTGTGGTTTTGATTTGCATTTCTCTGATTATTAGTGATGTTGAACATCTTTACTTGTATCTCTTCACCCTCTCTTTGTCTTTGGAAAATGTCTTTTTCAGGTCCTCTGCCCATTTTTTAATTCAAATTGTGTGGGGGTTTTTTGTTTGTTTTGTTTTGTTTTGGCATTGAGTTGTATGACTTTATATATTTTGAATATTAGCCCCTTTTTGGATATATCATTTGCAGATTTCTTTTTCCACTCAGTAAATTGCCTTTTCAATTTGATGATGATTTTCTTCACTGTGCAAAAGCTTTTTATTTTGATGAGGTCCTGATAGCTTATTTTTGCTTTTATTTCCCTTGCTTGAGGAGATATATCTAGAAAAATGTTGCTAAGGCCAATGTCCAAGAGGTTGCTGCCTGTGTTTCCTTTAGGAGTTTTATGGTTTCAGGACTCATATTTAAGTCTTTAATCTATTTTGAGTTTATTTTTGTGCATAGTGTGAGAAAGTGGTCCACTTTTATTCTTTTGAAGTAGCTATTCAGTTTTCCCAGCACCATTTATTGAAGAGATTCTTTTTCCCCAGTGTATATTCTCGCCACCTTTGTGATATATTAATTGATGATATGTTTATGTTTATTTCTGGACTCTCAATCCTGTTCCTGATTTATATGTCTGTTTTTATGCCAGTACCATGCTGTTTTGATTGCTCTAGCTCTGAAGTGTAGCTTGAAATCTTGGATTGTAATACTTGAAGCTTTATTCTTGTTTTTCAAGATTTCTTTGATTATTTGGAGTCTGTTGTGGTTCCATACATATTTTAGCATTATTTTTTTCTAGTTCTGTGAAAAATGTTGTTGTCATTTCGATAGGGATTGTACTGAATCTGTATATTGCTTTGGGTAGTATGGGCATTTAAAATTTTTTAATTCTTCCAATCTATGAGCATGGTATCTTTTCATTTGTTTCTGTTGTCTTCAGTTTCTTTCACCAGTGTCATAGGTTTCAGAGTACAGGTCTTTTACTTCCTTGTTTAAATGTATTCCTAGGCATTTTATTCTTTTTGATGCAAATGTGAATGGGATTGTTTTCTTAATTTTCCTTTCTCCTACTCTGTTACTAGTGTATAGAAATGCAACAGATTGCTGTATATTAGTTTTATATCTTGCAACCTTATTAAATTCATTGTTTGAAAGAATTTTTAATGCTAGACAGTACATACTGATTGAATAATGTTATTTAAGAAGACAAAGGTTTTAGTTAGCATAATACCAACTTTGTTTAACAAATAGTCAAATATTTACATAGAAAAGCCTGGAAAGGGGATCCCCGGGTGGTGCAGCGGTTTGGCGCCTGCCTTTGGCCCAGGGCGCGATCCTGGAGACCCGGGATCGAGTCCCACGTCGGGCTCCCGGTGCATGGAGCCTGTTTCACCCTCTGCCTGTGTCTCTGCCTCTCTCTCTCTCTCACTATGTGCCTATCATAAATAAATAAATAAATAAATAAAAATTAAAAAAAAAAAAGAAAAGCCTGGAAATACACTAGAATGTTATAATGGCTCTGGTTGATGGAAGTATGGATGATTTAAACTTTTTCTCTGTATTTTTCTATATTTAATTCTTTTTGGAATAAGCATATGCTACTTTGAAAACCAGAAAAATGTTACGTATTTTGAAAGAGAGAGATTTAGGGTGAGAATATTCATAGTGTTCAAGGGAAATGAGGTGCTTTCTACTAGACACTTTTGGGAGTCTAGGAAAGAGAGGTTGAGGGGAATGGAGAGTAAATAAGGGAAACAACACATTTTCTAGTCATGTAGTCTCTTCATTTGACCTCCTTTCTTGTTGGCATAAGATCTGGAACCAATCAGTAAAAGGTACATTTGTAGAAAAATCAGAGGAATGTTCTCACTGGCCATTCCTTTTTATGGTGGGGTGGGGGAGGTGGGAGAACCAAGGGTGGCACCATTCCTTTTGTACTGCCTTCCTCTTTCTTTTTTTTAAAGATGTTATTTATTTATTCATGAGAGATGCAGAGAGAGGCAGAGACATAGACAGAGGAAGAAGCAGGCTTCCTGCAGGAAGCCTGAGAAGGGACTCCATCCCAGGTCCTCAGGATCCCTACATGAGCCAAAGGTAGATGCTCAGCCGCTAAGCCACTCAGGTGTCCCTTGTACTGCTTTCCTAATGCCATCTACATATAACAGATTACAAAATACGCATTATGATTTCCTTTCTAGTTTTCTTTTTTTTCAATTTTAGGTGGATGTTATTGGCACCTTCTGGTCTTTTTGCAAATATGAGAAATTTATGACTTTTATTTTCAGTGAAAATTGAACCACCTGAGATTTTCAGTGTGAAATCAGTTTTGGGCATCAAACGAATGCTTCAAATAAAATGGATAAGGCCTGTGTTGGCTCCTCATTCATCTACTTTAAAATACACTCTTCGATTCAGAACAGTAAATAGTGCCTACTGGGTAAGTTATGCCTTTACAATGTTTCTATTAGTGAGCCCAAATAAGAGAATTATTGATTACTTTTTTTTTTACCTGGAATAATTTTTTCCTTTTTCTACCTTGAAAAAATAGAAGACAGACCATAGTAATACTTTTCTTGCCAATTTCCTATTTGGGCCTTTTAGATCAGACTAATGCAAGTGTTTCACTTGCATTCTGGGTACAGGGACATATTAAAGAGTGAGAAATTTACTTTTGCATTCCACTCTGGTTGTGTCTAGATGTGTTGGTGGTCAAAGAGTCTATGGCTTGGCTATTTCCTTTTTTATTTTTCCAACCTTTTATGAAATTGTGATATATGACTTGTACTTAGAAAAGTGAACAAAACATAAATATTACATTTAATAAATTATAGTAAGTCAGCACTTATGTTAGAATCAGTGAGGTCTAAAATAGTATACCAAGGTTCCCTGCCTGCATTTTCCTAATGACAGTCCTCATACCTCCTTAAAGCTGTTATCTTGATTTTTCATGGTAAATAATCCTTCACTTTTTATTATGGATTTACCATTTAAACCTGCATCCCTGAACAGCTTGGCTTGAGACATTATGTAATAGAAATCCATACATTTTGTATTTTTTTAAGTATTTGGCTTCTTTCAGTATTGTACTTTTAAGGTTCATTCATGTTATATAATGCTGGAGTTTATACATTTTCATTGTTGTATAATTTTACATTATACGAACACAGTGGAATCATGGCTTTAATTTGCATTTACCTGACTTTTAATGAGCTCATGTACCTTTTCATGTGCTTATTGTCTATTTAGAGTCCTTCTTTGTGAAGTGTTGATTTAAGCCTTTTGCACATTTTTTTTTCTAGTGGGTGGTCTGAATTTTAAATGGACTTGTAGGGGTTTCTTATATATTTCATTTCTGAGTTTTTGTTTGTTATGTGTGTTGTAAACATATCTCACTATGTGGCTTGCCTTTTCACTTTCCTAATGGTTACTTTGGATGAACAGAACTTCTTTATTTTAATATTATCACATTTTATCAAATTTTATCTATTGCATCCTTTCTTAACCTAAACCTTTTCAGAAAGGAAAGTTGGTTAAATTTCACTTGTCTGTGTTTAAGACAAAAGAAATAAAGATGTTCACTCTTCCTCTTGGTTTTCTTTCTATGCCAGCTTTGGAACCATACTCCTAGTACCTGACTACATGTAATGTAAGATTACTAATTTGTAGTTTTCGAAACCCAGAAGGTAACCCTTAAGCAAGGTAATTCCTGGCACAACATAAGCTCATCTTCCTTCACACCACATTTATTGTCTAAGTAAAGCTAAGGACTTGCTAGGGTGATCTGCCCTTGATTTATTCTGTTTGTCTGAGCCCAGAGTCCTATGGCTCTGAATAGGATTCAACAAGAAAAAGAAACCAGAATCTCTTCCTCTAGAAAATTAATAAGCCATGTACAACAGTGAGGGCAGCAGGTGTAAACTACCCCAGCATTCAGCATTCTCTACACCACCTCTTTGACAAACTCACCTACATCTTCACGTATCTTTGCTCTATTCCTTCCAGTGTCTGAGGTAAGAGGTCCTTCTTCTTCTCTCCTGAAGGAAATGAGAAGGGAAGTGGAATATGTATTTAGTATCTCTCTGCTTTCAGCTTTCAAATACAATCAATTCTAAACCCAACTATAACAACCCAACTTTTCTACAGAAAAAGGTCCAGATCCTTACCCCTCCAAGATGTGGCCCCTATCAAACTCTCCAACCTCATCTTTCATCCTGCCCTTGTTTCTCTAATGGCTCTAAATTGCTGGTTTCCCTTATGTCATGTCATTTCACTATTCTGTCTCTCTGCTTTGTACCTCTCCTCCTTCCCCCAAACTTGTTAAGTCTATTCATGTCTCAGAACTCAGTTCTGACATACTTCCTTCTGAGAACTTGAGAGAGGTACTCCTCCTCTGTCACTGCACTTAATAATACTCAGCACTGTCATTTAAAGTCATCTCTCTGTGCATTAGACTATAAAAAAAATCCCAATATGTCCATATCAGGGAAACTTACATTTGTATGATGCTGTATGGGTTGCACAGTGCTTTCTTAATACTCCAGGCTATTTAATCCTTGCATATACCTTTCAATGAGGCGTCACTATTATTATTTTTACAGATTAGTAAATTGTGATGTATAGAGCTTAAATCCCTTGTCCAAGATTTAAAGTTTTATAAGTTGCAAAGGTTTTCTGACTCCAAGTTGTCATTCACTTGACCATATTTTAGCAACCTCCAGACCATCTTCCTGTTGCCTATTCTAAGGAGTTTCCACTTTTATAAAATGAAACCATATGAGCACTCTGCCAAAGGATCTCGAGACTGTTTTAAGAGTTTGATTTAGGATTTGTACCAATAGTTTTGACTCATCTCTTAAAACATAAACACTTTGGGTGAGCTAGAATTTGGCACAAAGTATAGGTTGTTAGAAACAAACCTGATGAAGTTAACCTAATGAAGTTAATTAGTATTTTGTTAGGAGTCCTTGTCTGTGTTGAGCTGGGGAGTTTTAGTTAAGCATGTATAGGGAGGATCAGTTGAGGGCCAATTGATCTTGGACTTGCCTGGACAAAAAGCCAAACTAAAAGAAGCCTTTCTGACAGGCACATTGTTTAAAAGACTGAGCACATTTTTCTTTTTCTTTTTCTTTTTTTCTTTTTGCTTTGGGAGTAGGGCTGGAAAGAACATGCTTGCATAGTTACATTAGAGCTCTCTAAGCATGAATCCGAGGATCCCCAACATATAGGCCAAGTGTGTGCTTGAGGATACTAGTAAAGCAAGAGAAAACTTTGAAAGATTATTTTAAAAGAATATTACATATTTAAATGAGCATAAAACGAAAATAGAACTTTATTAGACTTCTTTGCATCTATTTTTTTTGGTTAATATGGTTTTTATTTTGATTCACATAAGGAAGGCACCATATGTATGGCTGGCTTTCTTCTAAAGGTCTTAATCTTGCTTCAACTCTCCCCATAACTAGGCTCAGGTGGGGAGGCTACACTCCCAGAGATGATGGATTATCCCAGTGACCCTGTTCTGCCATTGCACATTTCCAGAGGCTGTTGGAGGAGGGTGATCAGGGAACTTTGGATTTAGCTGTGAAACCTCTAGTTCCTACCTCGTTTTCCCAGCACCATTTTACTAGCCCGGCAGTACAGAAGTGTCTATCTGCAGCTGGGATGCTCAGCTTTTTGCCACATACACACATTCTCATTTTGCTCAGTTTCCTTTAGGCCCAATACCTATAATTATGTACGTATTTTCACAGCTGTTATATACACATACGAAATGTCATGACTTCCCTCTCTCATAAGGTTTTATGGGACTAGTGGGCATACTCTCAAAATAGACATGCCTATTAGTGCAGTTTATTAATCAACTGAATATGAGTTTATATAAACGAACACCTAAAAGTTCTTATAGCAGCAACAGTGACCATGCTCAAAAACAAATATCCGAATTTTTAGTTTTCTTGGAAATTTGGATCCACAAGGGACTTTAGAGATTATATAAGGCAATTTTACCAATAAGGAAACTGACTTCTAGAAAGGAAAAGTGATTTATTTACTTTATTTATTTATTTATTTATTTACCTCTCCCCCTCCACTCTTTCAAGAGAACGTCAAAATGAATTCATGCTGAGATCCTTAGCAGCCCTATTGGTCACCCAAAGACCAGTAATTTGCTGTGGAAGATTTTGGTAAAGGGAAAGTGTCTAGGAGGGAGGAAATCTATGTTCTGATCCCAGTGTTGCCCATAACAAACCCTGATGTAGTCCATGGTCACTTAATTTTGTGAGGTCTTGTCCATGACCTGAGGTTGAACTTAATGCCACTAAGATCTCTGTTGCCTATTATTCCGTATATCGAAGTGTTAGAGTCACCTGCCATGTTTAAACTGAGGCCCAGGTTGCCCTGTGTCCCAGGACTCCACCTTGTATTTTCCAAAACAAGACTGCTCATTCACACCCAGCCCAGGGGCAGGAATCTCTGCTCTCCAAACTTGGAGACAGGAAACCGGGAGGGTGGTGGATGACTCACATCTGTTTAGGTGCAAATAATTCCTAGGCATGCGTGGAGGTTTATTTATGAAAATTATACTTTTTTAAACTTAAGGTACAATGCTTCTAGTTCTGAAAAGGTAAGATAGGGTTGGGGAGTGGAGAAGAAAAATAGAAAGATAACAGGTGGTCTGCCATCCAACTCAGGAACTCAGGGTCATCTCTGTATTTTAGATGGAAGTCAACTTCACCAAAGAAGATATTGATAGAGATGAGACCTACAACCTCACAGAGCTACAGGCTTTTACAGAGTACGTCATGACTCTGCGATGTGCCCCGGCAGAGTCTATGTTCTGGAGTGGCTGGAGCCAAGAGAAAGTGGGAACAACTGAGGAAGAAGGCAAGCTGGTCCCCTGCAATTCCTTCTCTGCCTAGCACTTTTGGGTGGCCTGGGCCAAGCCTGAGTGGGTTTTGTCAAGCTCTGTACTGGAGAATCATGCGCTCTCACAGTCTGTATATTCCCTCTCCTCAGGGCACTCACTGTGCCCACCTGAGCCCACACGGTAAGCCAGCCCTCCTCAAAGGCAGAAGATCACATCTTTAATATTCTTAAAACTTCTTATACTATATGTGAAGCGGTGTGATATTATTCAAAGGTATCCTATGGTAAAGCTATATATTGTAAGCATAAGCCATGGAACTACTACTAAGAGATAAATAAAGGTATAATTAATAAGAAAAAAAATTCAGATTCTTAATGATAGTGATGGAAAGAAAAAGGACCGTACAGTGAATGAGCGCTCATTGTGACTCAGGAATGGCCATTTAGAGCAGTACTTTAACTCTGTGGGTTTGGCGAAATCCCAGCCTGGCTGTGGAGTGACTTTGGGTAGACACCTAATCTCTAAGCCTCAGTTTTCTCATTATTTATTCCCCTTTTCCATAATGGAATATAATTTATAAAACTGAGTTAAAAGTAGTCCCTACTGTTTAGTGTTATTTTAAAAATTAAATGAAAGAATGTACTTAGCTCACAATAAACATTCAACAAATGCCAGGCTTTCTGTTATTTTTATTAAACCTTCTAGGAGCCCCATAAAATATGTGGAACCACACCCATTTATTTGGAGGTGAAGGATCTGGGTTTCTGAAGTATTAGCAGATTGCTCAGAATCACTCAGCCTGTGTTACCATTTTTTTGTAAATCAAGAGTCTTCCCAATGCCTGTCCCTCAGTAGTCAATAAATGTTTGCTGAATGTATCAGTTTCTTATGGCCACTGTGACAAATTATCACAAATTTAATGACTTAAAACAACAAAGTTTTTTCTCTTACAGTTCTGGAAGTCAGGAGTCCAAAATTAGTTTCACTGGACTAGAGTCAAGTTGTTGGCAGGGTTGTTACCTTTTGGAGACTATGAGGGTAGAATATATTTTCTTGCCATTTCCAGCTCCCGTGGTTTCCTGTATTCCTTGGTTCGTGGGCCCCTTCCCGCATTTACTAAACACATCACTCTGATATCTGCATCCATCATTACATTACTCTTTTTTTCTCCTCTTCTGTGTCAGATTTCTTTGTTCCACTCTTAAAATGACCTTTGTGAAAACATTTAGGGCCCACCCAGATAATCCAGGATAATCTCTCCAATTCAAGATCCTAATGTAATCACATCTGGGCAAAGTCCCTTTGGCCATATAAGGTAACCTTTACAAATGGCAAGGATTAGGATTTAGATCTTTGGGGTACATTTTTCAGCCATGAATGAATGAATGAATGGGTAGTCGAATACTTGGTATGTCCACACATCTTTTGAAAAAGGAGAAGAAATGCAAAATGCTAATCCTTCTAACTTTCTGAGGCTTTACTCTCATTTGTTTGTAAGACACACAGGTTCTAGACCGTAAATTTCCCCACTCACACATTCAGCCATAATTTCAGTCATATTCTTGTAAGTCTTATTCAGTCTTACAGCCAAGTATCATAGAGATCTCAGGTAACATTTACAGTCAATTTCTGTGCTCCTTGGTCCATATGACAATTTATTCCTCTGGATCTTGGGTGAGTTTCCTATGAGACCAAGTTGGTATTAACAGATGTTCAGCACATTTGCACAGATGGTCAGATGTCTGGAAATAATCCAGTGTCTTCTGAATTTTGTAGCCCCCACTGGAGATGTCCATGCTAGTTCAATCTAAACTACCCTTTGGTGGATGTGGTTGCACAACAGTGGTTCATGAAACACATGGGAAACTAGGCTAGATGACTTCCTGTTTTCTTTTTTTTTTTTAAATTCACTTATTTGAGGGAAATATATATATATAGAAAGAGTGAGTGCAGAGGCAGAGGAACAGGGAGAAGCAGACTCCCCACTGAGCAGAGAACCTGATATGGGGCTTGATGCCAGGACCCTAAGATCATGACCTAAGGGGAAGGCAGATATTTGCCCAACTGAGCCACTCAAGCACCCCAGGCTGAGAAGACCCTTTTCACCCCAAGACTCCATTCATCAATGTCATTCAGGTATCTAGTTTTCTATGCCAGGCTCCAGATGCCAGGCATCTAGTTTTCTATGCCAGGCTTCTATGCCAGGCTCCAGACTAAGAAAAAGTCATAGAGAATCCCAAATCATTATGTCTTTATGTACTTCTAACAGTACTACAAATGATAAAGCTATTTAAATTTTACATCAATAGAAATATAGAAATGATTAAAACAAAACTAGTCAGATTGTTGGTTCTTATGTAACTTTTGATTAAAATTACATACAATTTTTGGGAACTTATTTGCATTCTACAGACATCACCTCAAAGTGTCAAATGAGTACAGATACAATAGTTTATAAATACGAAACAGCACATAAGTTACCCAGCAAAAAAGAGCCCATTGGTTATAATCTATTGGAGTAGTCGTTGTATTTTAACTGAGCCCTCCCTTTTAAAAGATTAGAAGGCAATGCATGCAGTGTCATTGAGCAAAGTGTCCTCTGCCTTTGCTACACCTTTCAGCAGGCAGTCTAGGAGGTTAAGTTCCACTTCAGGTGTAATTCTGTTTTGCACTTCCCTTCTCTGCACTGTAGCTGGCAGTCTTCTCTCCAGTGACCTTCTGAGGCCACTATGGCTCCGGGTCTTCAGTTAGCACATGACAGCCCAGCCACTCTCTCAGGTCAGCTTCAGTTCCATCCACTTGTCTTACTGCCAGAAACAAGATTTACCGTTTCAGCTGATGTATTATTTTGGCTAACTAGGCTAGGATTTGTTAGCAGAACACTAGATGCCTGTCTGATAAATCAAACCACTTATTTATCAAAGTCATCACTATAGAACTTTTGTTTTTGTTTCTCTTCATTTTTTCAGGATCCCAGTGAAAATTGATGAAGATGCACCCCCTGGCCCTTAGCAAATCCTGATTTCCCCTTTTCCAATTCATAAACAATTTGTTTCTCTATTTCACAATGAAATGCCAGTTGTTGAATACACATCACCTCAAACCATTTCTAACTGTTTGAAATTTTCTAATTTAAATGTGAAAATTATTTATTTTAATTTGGATTTCCATAGATTGATTGTTTCGGTTATTTGCCCACATTTAAGCATATAAGTATCTACTATATGACACAGATGTAATTATATTCTGATCCTGGCTTTATTACCTAAAAGCTTATAACACTGAAAGAGGCTTCTCTGTGTTTCAGAAATAGTAATGATGATAGTCTGTACCTAATTGTAAGAGTGTCAAGGTTAAATGAGATAAATCAGGTAAAGTGCTTAGTAGAGCAACTATATACTATAAAATGCTAAAAGTTAACTATTCCTGTTATTGGTCTTCAGCAAGGGCACCAGGATGTGCCTGAGGTGTCTGACTGGTGGTGGTTGTCAGTTTGGATATTCCCAGATTGTAATGGAAGCAAAATAGTATCAAATTGTTGCTAATGGGTTCAAAGAATTGATGCCTTTGAATATGTAGCTGGAATTTTGATGGACTTGGAAAAATTTAATTTTGCTCTTTTACAATACAGAATTAGTACTTTTCTAACTTTGGTTATACTGCAAAGCCATTACTAGCTCATGGCTAATGGAAAATTGCTGTTAATTGTAGAAGGTTTCCGTGCTACTCAGGCAGTGGTTTCAGTAAAAGCTGCATCTGTCGGAAGTCAGTAGCGAGAAGACTGTTCCTCTTTGAACTTTATCTACAGGAAATAGTGGCTTCAAGTGAAAGGAGAAAATATCTGATTAAATTTCTTTACCGTCATCATCTACTATAACTAAATGGCTGCCTGTGGGATAAATATAAGGAGAATTTCACTCATATTTCTAACCAAGTGCCTGGAATGATTGATTATCTAATAATCCATTTATTTTGCCTTTGCCCATCAGATGACTATTTGGAGCTGGATTGTAATACACACTTTGCCTTTAGATTTTTTTCTTTTTTACCCTCAGTGCTATTATCCCTGAGTCTGACTGAACATAACTGGAACGGAGAGACTCTGCAAGTGAGAGATGGAGTGAGAGTCCTTCCGATTCTGTGGGTTACCTTTGAAGATCTTGTGACTTTGGAGCTTTGTGCTAAAACTATCTGCTGGGAGGAACCCTGTGTTCACATCTCATTGGTTTGTAGACAGGTGGAAACCACCCTCTTGTTCTCTGTCTGAGAATGTTAGCTACAGGCTGTCTTCTGATTTCTTTATTGAAGAATCAATTTGAAGATACTGATATTGAAGAATATAGATTTCTTTGGGAAATCAGAAAACTTCTGACAGAGCACATAAGACAGTAAGACAACATCTTAGTGGAGCACAAATGAAGTTATGTTTAAAGTCTAAACAGTTCTAATTTCCTGATATGCAACTTAACATAGAGATACAGTAGATCTCATTAAGATTGGGTCCTACCAGTTAAGCTGTTTTACCTGCACTTTAGCTTCTGCATGAGTAGTTGTAGAAATGTGGCTCTCCATTAATGATAAAACAGGCTACTGACTTAATTGCCCTTTGGCTCATTTTTCTACGTTATGAAGTTGTTTTCAGTTGAAGTTCAGCAATTTCACCTTAAGACACCCCGTCTCCCAAAGTGTGATTTCAGATACTTGAAAACAGTCTGGCAGTACTAAAATAGTTCAGATCTTGGCCTGAGTGGTTGACCCCATTCTCTGCAGACCTACTTACCTTATCTTCAGCCATGTGGTTTCCTCAAGAAAAATTCAGAATTCATCAGCTGCATCTTCATTTAGGCATTTCCTTCCTTCTCTAAGTTACAGGCAGTGTACTAGCTTTCTGGACAGTTCTTTAGAATTCTCTGCTTTCTTCTCATTGCTAAAGTGCGTAGGTCATTCTTAAACCAGAAACTCAGGATTTTGAAATTATCCCTGTGTGGTTAAATCATCAGAAGCTAATACAACTTGAACTGTATTGTCTTGGATTATGTTATTCACTGGAGAAATGTACAAATCAGGTTTAACATCTTGCCCTTGCATTTTATGGAACATAAATATGAAAAATACATGTGCCATTTTTTGTGCTTTTGCTCAACTGTGATGGCAGACATTGAACTTTAGGTTACCCATTTTTTGAGAAGATCCCCATTATAAATTCCATTTATTAATTCATTCCCCTAGCCAGAAAATACTTGCTCCTTCATATGGTTGCTTTTTATCAGCCTATGAGAAACATGCAATTCAATACGATCTTTTTGGCTTTTTCTGCCACGAAGATCGGCATTAAATTTAAAGCTCAGGGAATGACCTAGTAAAGATTATTTCTTGGCTCCTTTCTTCTTTAATTCTTTCTTATATTTTATAACATTTTAAGTATACAATTTTATCCTTTTTGAGAATCAATCTTGGTCTCTCTTTCTCCCTTTCTCCCTCTTCTACTCTCTCTCTTCCCCACCCTGAAATAGCATATATAATATAATATATCTCTATGTGTCTATCTCCTTATCAGTTATTTCTGTCATTCCTAGCTTTAGCATATGTAGATGTTTTACCTTAGAGGACATGAGATGTTACATTTCAATCCGGATTTCAGTGATAAGTTATATTACAGTGGTACCTATTGTATTTTTCTTTTACCTTACATTAAGTCATCAGATCTGAGAGCAATTTTATTTTTTACTTTTGGTTGATGTCAATCTTTTGGCCACAAAATGAAGACATCATTGGTTGTTGCAAGCTGCCATCCCTCCACCGATCACTTTTCTCCTACTGGCTCCCTCCAGCAAATCCTTCCCAACTGCATTTCTAACAGGCAGCCCAGCTAATTTCCCCATATTTTGTTTCAGCTCCCTTCTGTCTTATGTTGACACCCCACTCTTGTTTCCTTACAGCTCCATATGGCCTGGATCTGTGGAGAGTCCTGAGGCCAGCCATGGTTGATGGAAGAAGGCCAGTGCAGTTGATGTGGAAGGTGACTTGCTTATATATATATTTTTCTGTTTAAAAACCCGTGGACTTGGGATGCCTGGGTGGCTCAGTGGTTAAGCGTCTGCCTTCAGCTCAGAGTGTGATCCTGGAGTCCTGGGATTGAGTCCCATGTCGGGCTCCCTGCACGGAGCCTGCTTCTCCCTCTACGTCTCTGCCTCTGCCTCAATCTCTCTCTCTCTCTCTCTCTCACATGAATAAATAAATAAAATATTTAAAAAAACAAACCCTTGGCCTTTACACCTCTAAGAACTAATTCTTGAAATTTACCTCCTGAATTTCCTTCCCTCAAGGCTTTATAATGCCCCAAATCTTACTATGGTTTTCCATTTCCCAAAGCCACATAGGTCATCTTATAGATGGCCTAAATGTGCATTATAGACCCTGTCTCCTCTCTTCTTTGGTCTTAAAAATTAACATTTAGGACAGGTACAAAGTTCAAATGCAGGCAGCACCTTGACCTTCTGGAAACACCCCCCCCCCCCCCCGCAACCTGCTGGCTACATTAGAAGGCAGTGTAAAATTGTATAGTACCCACCCCGACATGGGAGAAGAACACTGACTTGTGGTCAGCTCACGTCCTCATGTCATTGAAAACATATATTGTATATATGTCCCTTTGAGCACTGGTATAGTGGGGTACAAGGACAGAACAGGGTCCAAATGGTCCTTTCTAGAATGGAGGCCTGGGATGGAGGAGCAAAGGAGAAGGTGGGGGCATCATGCAGAGAAAAGAAAAAGAGGTAGGATAAAGGACAGAAAAGGAGGGGAAGAAAGAATAAACAGGAAAGGAAAGGGACAAATATGAGAAAAAAACAACCCAGCCAGGAGCCAGCAGATTAAAAATGGGAGAGTTTGGGAGAGGAGAAGAGAGGGAGGAGAGCAGCGAGATGTCAGAATTGTTTAGTAGTGTCCAGAGTTCTCAGGGAATACTCATCATATTATTTCACACTTGCTAAAGTCCAGGCAAGTTTAAAATCCTTCTGGAAATGGAGAAATCACCTGCTTTATAAAATGATATTCTATTTCCAATTATGTCCTCTACTTTCCCCACTCGCTTCAAACCCTAGGGCTATGGGGCGCCCTCTGGTTGCAGAGGCAGCAGGCCAGGGAGCACACAAACAGAGACACTGGGAAACCTTTGAAAATCAAGATTGTGAGAATCCCAGATGTTGTGTTTTCTTTCTCAGTGACTAAGTGTGGAAACAAATCACTCAGTCAACATATTTTGGGAGAAGGAGAGCAAACAGTGGCACATATTCCATCTGTGGTCAGCCACAGAGTGTTGGGTCAAGTAGGCTAACATGTGAGGCTGGTGAAATGGACTTTAATACCTTCCTCTTTCTCCCCCTCACCTGAGGAGGTCTTCCTTTTTGCCTCAGTAAGAGATTTTTCTAAGAATTAAAGTTAGTTATAAAGATTGGACCAAAACTGAATGGTGGTTATGATTGCACAGGTCTGAGAATATACTAAAAAAAAAAAAAAAATCCCTAATTGTATACCTTAAAATAGTGAATTTTATGGCATCTGAATTATATCTTAATAAAGCTGTTGTTTACAAAAGAGAATGCATTGTCCTAAGAGGTAAAAACCTCCCAGTCATTAGGAAGTTTCAGTCAATTCCTGAACTGGAAAGGCAAAGGGACAAAGTGACTTCTAAAGTCCTGTTTGACCTTACATTCATTCTATTCCATCTGTGTGTGTTATCAGTAACATAAAGTGAACAACTGGAAAGCCTTATAGTTCCTGGGAAATACTCAGCGTGCTGATCCCTAAGCATAACATAAGGTTAGTAGGTTCAGGTTCAAGGCTGAAAAGAAGAGTTTGGCTTGGAGTCCCTGGGGTCACCTTAGGCTTCTCACCACAGATTTAGATTGACAGGGCAACCCTGAATATTTTAGGACTCTTAGCTGGGATTTCTGGTATGCCTGGTCCAGAGAAGCTAATTCCTTTCTCAAAGAAGGAGGCATGCTGCTTTTTATGCAGTAGCACAAGTACTTTTCAACCCTTGGAAGCTTCTAGACAAGAGATGACCCAGGGCCAGAACAGAATTGGGATTCTTAGAGTGAATGCCTCACATTTTTAGCTTATACTGTCCTATGCCTGTGGTAGAAGGAAAAAAAAAGATAAGCATCAAAAAGTTATGGGGGTGACTTGCTTACATTGGCTTGGACATTCTCCTAGTTAAAACTGCCTCATGGAATTAGACTATTTATCAAATCTCTTTTGGCCCTTGAAGGGTTAATATCACAGCACAGATTGTGCTGTTCATCCCAGAAGGGTGATAACCTAATTGTAGTTTAGCACCTAATAATTAACATTACCCCGCACCCCTCATCCTCACCATTTATCACTGTCTCAGTACTTGTCTTTTCTTGTTTCTGGCAACATGTTTTGTTTCCTTTGGGTTCAGAAAGCAACTGGAGCCCCAGTCCTGGAGAAGGCACTTGGCTACAACATATGGTACTTTCCAGAAAACAACACTAATCTCACAGAGACAGTAAACACCACTAACCAGACACATGAAATGTATCTGGGAGGCAAGACCTATTGGGTGTATGTGGTCTCTTATAATTCTCTTGGAGAATCTCCGGTGGCTACCCTGAGGATTCCAGCTCTTAATGAAAAGAGTAAGTACAGTGTAAACTTCTTACTTAGATGCCTTGTCCCAACTAGTTGGCCAGGAAGTCCACTCAAGGATGGCTATTTCCCTCAAGTCAAAATGCAAATGAAGTGGAAACCTTTTAGGTTATGGTGAGGAAATCAAAATCTTGTGGTAATTAATGAACTCTTGAGATACAATTCCTTTAGAACAAAGCCTGTGTTAAAATCTGAGACTTCATAAAGTCATATGAGACAAAGTCATACACCTAGAAGTTCTACAAGCAGTTCATATTTGTTTTGGTCTGAGTGAGCCATATAAAACTGTCAGATAAATCATGTTTGTCCTCAGTGGCAGAAACTTCTCTTTTGAGATCTCCTTCTCACAGTATTGACCATATCCCAGCCTTTGTCTGCTCACTCTTCTGTGTTCTTTCTTTTCCCTTTTCCATGTGACTACTCAGTTGGGAAAATTTCTGATGTTTGTACTTGTCAATTAAATGCTCATTATTGCACTGGGTGTTATGCTATATGTTGGCAAATTGAACTCCAATAAAAAAATATACAAAAAAAAAACAAATAAAAATAAAACCATTCAATTTAATTGAAAAAATGCTCATTATACTTTTGGTTAAGCAGTTTTAAACATTTTACTGCTCCCAGGCAAACACATATTTTATATTGCATATTGGAATAAAATACCTTCTTTGATTGTTATTCAAGGAATTGCAGGCAAGGGATTTCTTCTTTCTTTTTTGTCTATAAATCTTACTGTTTCTTATTCTATAGATTTTCTCATTTATTTTGTTTATTATCTATCTCTCTGTCAGTTGGATGCAACTTCCTGAGCACAGAGATTTTTGTCTGTTTTTCTTTTCCTCCTCTTCCTCTTTCTCATATCACTTCCCCCATCTGCAACACCTAGAACAGACATAGAGCAGTTGGCATTGAAAAGGTGCTCAGTAACTATTTGTTGAAACACATCATAGTTAGATAATGTACTCTCCAGTTTCTTACCTCTCTTTATATAGACCTAGACCTCTCTTTACATAGACCTAGACTAATTCAGTCCTTTGTATTATCAGCCCTAGACTTGTTTGTCTATACTCCCTTCTTTCTCTTCACCTCAGACTTAACCCATTTCTTCCCTTTTGCTTCATATTAGAACTCCTATATACAGTTGACCCTTGAACAACATGGGTTTGAACTGAGTGAGTCCACTTAAATGTCAGTTATTTACAGTACAATACTGTAAATGTGTTTTCTCTTACAACTTTCTAAATAACATTTTATTTTCTCTAGCATACTTTATTGTAAAAATATAATATGTAATACATGTAACATACAAAATATGTGTTAATCCATTATTAGTAGTAAGGCTTCCAGTCAATAGTAGGCTATTAGTAGTTAAGTTTTGGGGGTGTCAAAAGTTATACACAGGTTTTCAATTGTACATGGGGTTGGTGCTCCTAACCCCCATGTTGTTCAAGGGTCAGTTATATACAAAATCTGTGTTTTGAGCCAAAGAAATCTAGATACCATAAAACTTGGGCAAGTTATCTAATGTCTCTAAACCTCAGCTACTTGTGAAATGGAACTATTATATAGTAACACCTCCTTCACAGAACTGTTGTGAGGTTGAAATGAGAGTGTGTATTTAAAATAATTTGCCTAATGCTAATTATTACTATTTTCATTCCTTTTTAAAAAAGGATTTTATTTGTTTGTTTGTTTGTTTGTTTATTTGAAAGAGAGAGTGAGAGCGAGGGGGAGGCCAAGGAAGAGGGAGAGAGAATGTGAAGCTGACTCTGTTGAGCACAGCCCAGTGCAGGGCTCATTCTCACAACTGCAAGATTATGACCTAAGCCAAAATCAAGATTTGAATGCTCAATGGACTGAGTCACTCAGGCACCCCACTATTGTCATTCTTAATAAGATGTCTGATTGAATAATTTTTATTAGAGAGGGATTATCAACTTAAAAAATACTACAAAATCTGATTTTAACTAAAATTAGGCTAAATTCCCATAGAGTTTTTAATTTTTCCCAATTCAGAAGGTACTTGCTTTGTGGCAGAAGCATCAGTGTGATCCTCAGTTATAATGGTCCCAGACCAGAAGTGGGCAAGTTATGGACGAAACCTAGCCTGACATCTGCTTTAGTAAATAGTTTTATTGAAACACAGCCACACCTGTTTGTTTACATTTGTTTATGCCTCCCTTTGTGCAACAGTGGCAGAGTTGAATAGTTGTGACAAAGACCATGTGTCCTATAAAACCTAAAATATTTACTATTTGGCTTCATACAGAGACTGTTTGAAGACTACTGTTTTAGGCATATAAGAAAGTAATGCTTTACAGAACTTTGATTAATAAGGTAGAGTCAACTAGAGAATAGTTATAATAATAATAATTATAATAATCACTAAGAACACTAAGTGTTCACTAAGAACAATCACTAAGTGAGTGTAATTATCATATACTGTCTATTAGTATATGTCACTCATTGTGCTAAGATGACATAGGTTTATTTAATGTTAGCTGTGAAATGGTCCATGAGGTAGATGCTATTAGAACCATTTCATAGATGATGAAGCTGAGATTCAGGAAAGCTTAGGAATCTGTCCATGACCACTCAGGTAGAATTCAAACCCAGGTCTGCAGGTTCCAAGCTTGTACAATATACTTTGTTCAGAATCTTGGACTTGATGCTATTTGACACTGAACATATACCTCTGAAGGCCTCCATTTTTACCATCTTTAAAATAAGGGTTTGGAATAGATAGACCTTCAGATTCCTTCCAGCCTGAACTTCCTTTAAGTTTTAAAGAACCTTAGCCAGCAGGTGGCTCTGGAGTGATCTGAAGCAGGGCCCAGAAGAGCACAGCCACTGTGTGGTGGGGGATGAGAGGTGGTCAGGACTCTTGGGGCAGAGCTGAGGGTAGGCTCAGACAGCTAAGGTGAGGCACTGAAGCACCCAGGGCTGTCCTTGGTGGTCCACAACTGCCTTCATGTAAACCGCAAGAACTTCAAGGTGTTAGCACTCAAAGCTCCTCCCTCTTTCAGGAAGAATATGGATTTTTCTACTGCACCTGGGGGTATGTTGTATTTGGAGAAATTGTTTAGAATGTTCTCTTTTTAAAGATTTTATTTATTTATTCATGAGAGACAGAGAGAGAGGCAGAAACATAGGCAGAGGGAGAAGCAGGCTCCCTGCAGGGAGCATGATGTGGAAGTCCATCCCAGGACCACAGGATCATGACCTGAGCCAAAGGCAAGTGCCCAACTACTGAGCCACCCAGGCATCCCAAAATACTCTTGTTGAATAATGGAAGGATTCAGGAGTTACTTTACATAAAGTGGAGTGATGATTTGGAAACTTCTCTTTCAGCACCCTTGACACAGTTGACTTATGGCTTAATTGAGCCTTTTCCACACCTCCCATGGCCTAGAGACTGGGCTAGTCCCTTCATTCCTACAGCATGTTTGGCTCTTTCAACCTGACTCCTGATCCTCAGCCAGTGTTGGTAAAGTAAAGGAGTGTGGGCTTAGGAACCAACACTCACTCCTGTGTTCAGGTCAGGATTTGTGTGCAAGTAATTATTACAAAAGTGCCTCCAGGGAGTCCAGAAGAGGATGTAAAGGAAACAAGGCCGGGGAAGGGGAGTTGGCCAAGCCAAATGTGCTATGTGATTTTCCCAGGGCTGCTGTAACAATGTACCATAGACTGAGTGGTTTCTCATAACAGAAATTTATTGTCTCATTGTTTGGAGGCTAGAAGTCTAAGGTACTGGTAGGGCCGTGGCCCAAGGGAGGATCCTTCCTTCCTTCCTCCAGCTTTTGACAGCCATAGGCTTAGACTTCGACAGTATAACTTCAGTCTCTGCCTGGATCTTCACAGGGCCATCTTCCTATGTCTCTTGGTCTCTGTGTTCACATTCCACTCTGGAGGACACCAGTCCTATTGGGTTAACTACTGACATCTGCAACAACCTGATTTCCTGATAAGCTTACATTCTGCAGTACTGAGGATATCTTTCTTTGTGAGGGACACAGTTCAACCCATAATGGGTACAATCTGTAATAAAAATCTTAGGGAGGGTGGTTCCAGCATGACCTGCAAGGGGACTTTGGAGTGTGGAGTTACATCACACAGTTCTTCCAACCAAAGAGAACGCACAAAAACAGTCAGAAGGAATTGAGAAGATCAGGGAGCATGAACAACACCTGCTACAGGAGGCTAGGGAGGGTTCCAGAAGCCTTTTAGTCTGACTGGAATGGTAACTGAGGATACTTAGAGGTTATGAGCAGATGTAGGGGTGATAGAAGCTCTAGGGATCACATGGGGTTGATACCCTGGCCCCCGCCCCTCCTCCACCTCACATTTCCTTTATGCCTCAGGTGCATTTCCTGACCCTTTCAGGCTGACAAATTACCTGGCCTTGTTTTTGGGACTAGCAGTTGGATTGTCTCATAAAGGCCCAGTTTGGGAAAAGATTCATAAAGTGTAGCCTTCAAGAATAGAAGCTTCAAAATACGCACACAGCTGTTGGGGCATGTTGCCTAGCAATAGCAGGATTCAGCACTCCCAGACCCCTCCCAAATTCCTATACATTTGGCCTAGGCTTCTAGCTTCAGAAGCTTTCTGATTTTTTTTATTTTTGAAAGACACTGTCTACTGTCTTTATCCAGGACTATCTTTAATGTTCATTGAAGTATGAACAGCAGCACCTGGGTGGCTCAGTTGGTTAGGAATCTGCCTTCAGCTCAGGTCGTGACCCCGGAATCCTGGAATTGAGCCCTGCCTCAGGCTCCCTGCTCAGTGAGGAGTCTGCTTCTCCCTCTCTCTCTGCCTCTCCCCCTGCTTTGCTCTCTCTTGCTCATTCTGCTGTCTCTCTCTCAAATAAACAAATAAAAAAATCTTAAAAGAAAAAGATAGTTCTCTGATTCTAATTAAATCCTAGGTATTGTATTTAAACTCACATACTCAAATTTCTAGTAAAGGAGTCCTTGTTGCCCGTTTCCAGACATGAGATTTTTTTTTTGTTATGCTTGTAGAAAATGTTGTCATTTGCATATCGGTCCATACCTAGGTTTGGAGAGTGTGTATGCATCTTTCTGGTACAGATAAAATTCTTACCACCTTGGGGATAGGAATCCATAGCCAGGTTGTGTGGGGCCAGCCTAGACAGTCAAAATTTGAAGCCACCTCCCAGGTATGACTGTAGGGACACCATCTTCCAGCTCCCAGATGTAGAATTACTGATACCTGAAATTTTGTGAAGATTCACTCCTTGTTTCAGACTTGCTTCCTTTTACTTGCACTGACATCTATGGAAGGTAAGTCTTGTGAGTCTAGTGAGATCCTTTCTTGGAAACAGGTAAATTGTGGGGACATAAGGAAAGATTAAGAAGGTAATTAATCATCAAAGGTGAGGTGCAAGGAAAAGTGATATAATACAAAGGATGGAAACAGCACCATAAGGGAGACTGCACTGGAGATCTTGAACTTTGACATTCTTTACGATTTGGGCAGTGAATGGATGCCAGTGTGGTTATTGCATTTGGAGAATGCGTTGAGCAGCTTTCTCTTTTTTTTCCTTCCCTTAGCATTTCAGTGCATTGAGGCCATGCAGGCCTGCCTCACTCAGGACCAGCTGGTGGTGGAATGGCAAAGCTCTGCTCCAGAGGTGGACACATGGATGGTTGAGTGGTTTCCAGATGTGGACTCAGAGCCCTCCAGTTTTTCCTGGGAATCTGTGTCTCAGGCCAGGAACTGGACAATCCAGAAAGGTAGCCATCGTGGATCCCATAGTCTCCCTCTGTATAGGATTCGGTTTCATTTCCATTAGTTTTAAAGTCTTTAGCTTTGACTTCAAAGGTGTAGATGTGGTTAATAGTGTTTGACACAATGAGTGCAAGCTTAGTGAAGTTACATACTTCTTGGCATTTCCCTTAGGCTGGGTTGGGAAGCCATGGGTATCAGACCAGGTATCTGGCCCATTTCCAGGTGGAAACCACCATCAGAGAGTCCTTCCTGGATTCTTGGTCATATAGATAACACTAGAGTTTGTATCCCACCTGTTCTGTCCAGGCTACCCTTTTAGTTGTGGTTTCCTGTTTAAGACCTATGTCCCTTCTACAGGAAATAGCCTTCTTTTTCAAAAAAGTCCCTGCTCCTTGAAAGACAGATGAGTGAGGCTTCACCCTCCCAATCCTGTCAGCCCAACCATTTCTTAATACTTGATAGCATCCATATAAAGAGTTACACTCTTGGAAAGATTCAGGCAGACAGAGGAGCTGGAATTCATGGTATCTGAGTTCTCAGGGTGACATGTTGTTAATAGAAGGATTACATTTTATTCTGCTGTGCTTCCAAATCATGTAACAAAATCCACGATGGAAGAGGGACTGGATCTCTTATGTTTCCCTTCCTTGATGGTTCTGTCATCTCATCAGAGTGGCACAGACTTAATTCGAAGAATTAATTTTAAAAGCTTAGAACTGGAATAGGCATTGGAGACCATCCAACCTCATCTCTTTATTTTCCAAATGTGGTACCTGTAGAGAAATAGAGAAATAGAGTATCTTCCCTAAGTCATAGCTGTAACTGGGTCTAGTGGTTCTTCTCCTTTGCCAGGTTCTGAGCTTAAGACTTGTTTTCTCTCTCTCTCTCTCTCTCTCTCTCTCTGTCTCTCTCTGTCTCTCTCTGTCTCTCTCTCTGTCTCTCTCTCTCTCACAGATGAATTAAAACCCTTGTGGTGCTATAACATCTCTGTGTATCCAGTGTTGCAAGACCGAGTGGGTCAGCCATATTCCATCCAGGCTTACGTCCAAGAAGGCAGTATGTATGGAAAAGCCATGTGGAGCGAGTAAACACTGGGGCCTGTCAAACATCCAGACGAGGCTATGAATGTCTGTAGCCCATTCACAGTTGCCTCAGTGCTTAGCTGTGCTGCACCTTCAGCTTGTAAACTACATATTCTTGACACAGTGTGGGCAGGCTGTAGGTTCACTGAATTTCAAAGCTGGGGTAGAAATAAAGACCATCAAGTCCAAGTCCCTCATTTTGCAAATGGAATATCAAGGCTCAGAGAGGTGAGATAGTTTGCCCAGCCTCACAAAGGAACTTTGTGCAAATAGCGCTATAGGCAGAAATAACATTTATTTAAGAACAAGTTAGGGACTTTACAGATTTAAATCATAAGTCGGAGATGCTAAAAAAATTTTTTTAATTGTGCGGCAGTAATCAAGGTTTGTACTGATGAACTGCTCAGGCTTTATTTTTATCTTTTAGTAGTTAACTTTTTCCAGATTCAATGTGAGAAAATAAATCCTGTCACTCAGATGTAACCCATGGGGACATGTCCTTCAGCTATATTTGATAATAGTGATTAGTGATATGAATGAAAGCTGAATGCCAACTGACAGTGAGGGCTCTGCAAGAAAGTACTTTTTTGTAGGCTTTTAATAGTGCTTTTATTCTGTTCAAGATGGATACTGCTGGAAAACTGTGTTCCCAAACAAGGTGATACATCGTGTCCCTACTCTGCCCCTACCTTCCGCCTCTGGCACCAGTTTTGCTTTGAGTACTAGCCAGAACCTTTGTGGAGAAAGGATCTACTCAGCTGTGATTCAGTGTTTATTGGTTTTCTCCCTGTCCTGTAAAGTTCCATCAGCAGGTCCTGTGCCCCAGGTGGACAACATTGGTGTGAAGACAGTCACAATCACATGGAAAGAGATTCCCAAGAGTAAGAGAAATGGTTTTATCAAAAACTACACCATATTTTACCAAGCTGAAGATGGAAAGGAATTTTGTAAGTGTGCTTGTAGACAAGCTGGAAAACCTCCAAATCCCAAGTAGATGCTATGGATACACTTGCCATAAGGGCTGGTGCTCAACAGTCTGCATGAGTCACTTCGCTTCTTTGACTCTCTCTGATAATGAGACCAAGAGCACCTACCTCTTGAGTTCTTTTGGAGTCAAATGAGAGTGAAGTGATAAGTTTTAAGCATTCTGTAGGAACCACAGGAGTTGATACAGTTTGTCCTTGTTAGGCTGTAAACAAGTTGGCCTCCTGGGAGCTTCCCAATCATTAATGCAGAGTGGGGTTATCCTGGATTAAAGAGTAGAGTGGTGGCACTTACCTCAATGCAGGACCCATTACCCTGACTCCTGCTGCCCACTGCTAAGTCATACTTTTGTCTTGATCCACAATATCTACTCACATCCTAAATTCTGGACAAGGCTTGGATTCCTATTTAGGCTAACATTTTGTTGTTGTTGCTGTTGTTATGGTAAAATACATATAACAAAATTTACCACTTGAAACATTTGAAACTGTATAATTTAGTGGCATTAAGTGTATCAGGAATGTTTTGTGACCATCATCTCTATCTGTTTCCACCCCGAATAGAAACCCCATACTCATCAATTCATCATCACTTCTCATTGTCTTCTTCCCACAGTCCCTGGAAACCACACAATTGCTGTCTTTTTGGTTTTACCTAATTCTGGCTATCTCCTATAAATGGAATTATACAATCTGAGGCTTTTTGCATCTGGCATCATGTTTTCAGAGTTTATCCATCATGTAGATTGTATTAGTATCTCATTCCTTTTTATTGCTGAAGAATATTCTATTCTATTATCATTCTACATTTTGCTTATCCATTCATCAGTTGATGGGCATTTGGGTTGTTTGCACTTTTTGGCTACTGTAATTAGTACTGCTGTGAACATCGGTGTGCAAATACTGTTTGAATCTCTGCTTTTAATTCTTTGGGGCATATGTCTATGAGTAGAATTGCTGGTCATATGATAATTCTAGTTTAACTTTTTGAGAAGCTACCCAACTATTTTCCATAGTGGCTGCCCCATGTTACATGCCTACCAGCAATGGATGAGAGTTATAATTCCTCAACATTCTTACCAACACTTATTTTCTTTTAAAAAAGTTATTATGGCTATTCTAGTGGGTGTGAAATGGTTGATCAGTGTGGATGGTTTGTTTTGTATTTCCTTAATAACTAATGATGTTGAGCATCTTTGCATGTGCGTATTGGCTATTTGTATATCTTCTTTGAAAAAGTCTTTTCAATTTCTTTGCCCTTTTTACAATTTGGATTGTCTTTTCAGTTGTTGAGTCCTAAGAATTTTTTAAATATATATTCTGGATAGAAGTTCCATATAATATACATGATTTGCAAATATTTTTTCTCATTCTGTGGTTTGTCTTTTCACTCTCTTGATATGTCTCTTGAATGTCTTTTTTTTTTTAAGATTTTATTTACTTATTCATGAGAGACACACACACACAGAGGCAGAGACACAGAGGGAGAGTCAGGCTCCTCGCAGGGAGCCTGATGTGGGACTTGATCCCCAGGCCCAGGATCATGCCCTGAGTCAGAGGCAACGCTCAACTGCTGAGCCACCCAGGCATCCCTCTTGATAATGTCTTTTGATGCACAAAACCTTTTAATTTTGGTGAAGTCCAGATTAATCTATTTTCTTTTGTTACTTATGTATTTGGCATCATATAGAAACCACTGCCAAATTCAAGGCCATCATTTACCCTATGTTGACTTTTAAGAGTTTTATAGTGGTAGCTTTTATGTTTAGGTCTTTGGTATATGCAGAACATGGATAGAGAGATTGGGGTATGCAATGTACTGGCTTGGGAATACAGGTTCCATTACTCTTATTTTACTGTTCTAAAGCACAGTTTTTACTTGGGCTTGCCTATTGTATTTGACTTCAATATTTTTCCTTTAGCCAAGACAGTCAATTCCAACATCCTGCAGTATAGCCTGGAGTCCCTGACACGAAGAACCTCTTATAGTCTCCAAGTCATGGCCAGCACCAATGCTGGGGGAACTAATGGCACCAAGATAAACTTCAAGACATTATCCATTAGTGAGTATTTCCTTTACACCTTGGCTAGGTCTTCCTGGCATTTCCAATAGGCCAGTTAAAGATGATATTTGCCAAAGGCAGGGGGAAGCCTAATGAAGAGGAAGTATGTAAGTGAGAAGAACCATCTGCCCTCTGGCTCATTGACCTTTTTGGAAGGCATATGGGTGAGGAGGCACACTGAGCAGTGATTTTGAAAAGACAGGTCCTTTTGCTCCTTCTTCATGGATAGTCCTATGTCCTCTTGAGGAGAGGGGATCAAGTTAATTCCAACTTCACTGTCAGTCCAAACCAGCCCCTGCTTCACAGCTGTCCCCAAGGTCATAGTCACCAGTTTCTGTGTGTCAGAGGTTACTGCACAGTGGGGCCTTGGAGGGAAAACCTTGGTTGAACAAGCACCATTGTCCCACAGGAAGGAACTTAACCTCCATCACTTGTGAAGATTTTTGATCAAAAAAAGTACATACCATGTTCTACTTACCAGCTTTTACATGAAAAAATAGAAATAAAAATTTAGTAAATAACAAAATATGAAATATAATATAGTGTTATAGGATGGTTATGGGAAATAATCAAGAAGAAAAGAAGAATGAGAAGAGAGATGAGAGAAAGAAGGGGAATGAGAGAAACAGAAATATGTTAATTTTTTCAAGTCTTTGAGGGGCAGAGGTTTGATGTTAAGGATATACTAGAACTGTTTTAAGAACTATTTATATTAAAAGTGAAGAGACATTGCCAATTTTTGCAGTAAAAACTGAAAACAATCTAGTTTAAGTTCTCTCTCTCTCTCTTTTTTAAAGAGAAAGTGTAGGTGGAGGGTGAGGAAGAGCAGAGAGAGAGAGAGAGAGAGGGAGAAAGAGAATCTTAAGCAGGCTCCATGCTCAGCATGGAGCCTGACGTGGGGCTCAGCTTCATGACCCTGAGATCATGACCTGACCGGAAATCAAGACACCCATCCCACTGAGCCATCCAGGCACCCGTGGTTCAAGTACTCTGGAAAGCCTCTTACTCAACATATTTTCAAAAGAAAAATATCTTTAAGGTTCTGGAAACTATAAGTATAGTATGTGTATTTACACAGAAAACATGTTCTGTCTTTAAGGACTAATACTGCCTTTTCGGAGTTCTTTTTGATATTATTCTTTAGAATCTTTTAAAATCATACTGTATTTTCATAGTACTAGGCACAGATTACATTATCTGCTAGAATTTTCTCCATGGGTCAAATTTAGGCAAGAGCCTACCTTGGAGCCTCAGTATTTCTTACACTTGTCTGCAGATTGCAGATCTCTCTGCTTCTATCTTTATTCCTCTGCAGTCTATTCTCCACACGGCAGTCAGAGTTTAAAACCCTAGCCTTCTGCTTGAAACCCACCAGTAGCTTCTGTTGGGTTTTAAATAAAATGCAAATACCTACCCATAGCCTTCAGGATCCTTCATGAGCTTTGGTTTATTGAACTCACCTCCTACTGCTTTCTGCTTCCGTCTGTGCTCTCTGACTTCTTCCTGCTTCAAGGCTTTTGCATCTGCTTTTCCTTCTGTCAGGAATGCTTTCTCCATATTTTTGCATGAGTGGTTTCTTTTTATTATTAACATTAGCTCAAATTTCACCTCTCAGAGAAATCTTCCTTTGCCAATATGGAAAGTTACTAACTGTCCTTCCACATTACATTTGATCATCCTGTTATATTTGAAATAACCTTTTTTTATTGTCTGACTCCTTGTACCAGAATGTAGAGTAGGGATCTTGTATTTCTTGCTTATTGCTGTCTGTTTTATTACCCAGAATAGTGGTTGATAAATGGTAAGTGCTCAGTAAATATGTACTAAATGAACAAGTTCGAGAATAAACTTGGTATTATTCAGGCAGAAGAGAACTGGATGAGGAGCCACAAATACCATGTTTCTTTTTATAAATAAATTTTAATTGAACTGAAAACTCCTAAGCAATGTGTTGCTGAAACTACTGGAAGAAAAAAAGATTAATCTTTAATTTTTGTCAAGAAAGTGAGGAGGCCATCCTTTTACTGACTTTTGTTCTCCTATTCCCAAAGGCGTCCTTGAGATTTTCTTCATAACTTCTTTGGTTGGAGGTGGCTTTCTCATTCTCATCATGTTGAACTGGATGAGGAGCCACAAATACCATGTTTCTTTTTATAAATAAATTTTAATTGAACTGAAAACTCCTAAGCAATGTGTTGCTGAAACTACTGGAAGAAAAAAGATTAATCTTTAATTTTTGTCAAGAAAGTGAGGAGGCCATCCTTTTACTGACTTTTGTTCTCCTATTCCCAAAGGCGTCCTTGAGATTTTCTTCATAACTTCTTTGGTTGGAGGTGGCTTTCTCATTCTCATCATGTTGACAGTGGCATATGGTCTCAAAACACCCAAGTGAGTTTATAGGCAACAGCACATACCCTCAAAATCAGGGATCGAAAGGGGTGGGAGATGTCATAAGTGGAGAGGGTACTCTATTATTAAGAGGGTATTGATTCATTTATTAATCTGGTACATATATACTGAGTTTATTATATGCCATAGCCTGCTTATCAGAATTCTGACCAAACAAGATGACTTTCACTTCCCACAGCCCCATGCAGCAGGCTTACGCCAGGGGATTGCCAGCTGTGCCATAGGCTTTATCTTCTGTATCTGGCATCTGAAACTAAAGTTAGGGAGAAGGTCCTTTCTCCCAGTGTCTGGCAGCAAGAGGCCTTAGGCCACTAGCTGCTTTTCTAGGTAGAGAGGGAACATACCCATGGAATTAGAGCACTGGCCAGTACTATGCCCAGCATAGACTTGCTCCTTGCTCATGGTGCAGTGTTGGAGGCCTGGCTGCAAGGACATTTGTCCTGCCTGCCCTGGCCACTGTGGAAAAGGAAGCTCATCTTCAGAGTCTTGTTCTTTCTCTCTCCAGAGAGCCTCATGCTATCCTGCTGGTCAAGGGCTCCCTCCCCAATAGACCTCTCTCTCCAGAACTGCATAGTTCTGGGCCTACTCTGCCACGCAGCTGTACTTGGTTATAGTTAGATGAATGTCAACCTCATTTCCCAACTATAGGTAGAAACCAAGTGACCAGCCAAACTCTTGTACATTTTCTATGTCTGACAAACTCCCAGTTGATGCTGCTGCTGGTTGAAGCCACACTTTGAGAATCACTGCACTAAAGTGTGGGTATTGTATCAGGCTTCAAGTGGTACTTTTCCTGGAGAATACATCTCAAAGACATGGTTCTGTGATGGTGTGATTTCCAGCATCAGGACCAGTGGTAGAGATGCAGGGGCAGGGGAAGGTAGAAAAGGTGTCTTTCCATCACATCCCATCGATGACTTGCAGTTTCACTCCCTAGACTATGTGTTCTCAGTTTCTGTCAGGAGGTCAGAAGCCTGCCATTGTTTAACAGGGAGCCATACAATTCCCCGGAGCAAAGCTTCCCTCTTCTAGCATAGCCAGGCAGTGTAAGTAACGTACTTCTTGAATTCGCTTCATATTTTAAAATCTCATTTCTTATTAGCAAATTGAAGCACCTATGCTGGCCTGATGTCCCCAACCCTGCTGAAAGCAGTATAGCCACATGGCGTGGAGATGATTTCAAGGTAAATGCATCTGTTTTTGTTAAGGAAATCATTGAGCAAGCTGGTTGCATAAGATAAGGAAGGGTGATGGAGGTGGGGAGGAGTCAGTCCAGGGCTGAGATTTGTACGGGGTTCACATAAACAGAACTTGAGGTTTAAAAGTTCCAGGGTATGGCTGGCATGACAGGTGGAACCAGCCTTCCTGAATCCACTTTGGCCTTAGTCCTCTTGGACCAGCAGAAAGGACTTCACTAGGCTCAGAGGACCTAGTGTGTGCTGGGGATGGAGCTGGTCTACTGGGGATGGCACTGAAGGACACTGGCCCTACCCTGAAGGACCTGACTGCCTAATTGGGGAGCAAAAGAAAGCCTGTCTATAAGATTCAAGACTATTTAAAAAGCAGTCAAGAGCAAGCTAATCTAGAGACCACCAGAAACTGTTAGGGGATGTTGACATATGAAGCTGTCCAAAGGCTCACAAGGCTGCCTCCAGTTGTTTTTCCCAGTTTGGAGGAGTTACAGCCAGATTTTAACTGGCAATCGGGTTTTTTAGTGAGTTATCCATAAGTAGAAAACTTCCTTTCTTATAAGTTTTTAAATTGAAAACTTTTTGGAATTTTTAAGGTATAATTTCTTAGTAAAAATAAGCCCTTTCAAATATAGCCATTAATTTAATTATTGAAAGACTGTTTCTAGTATTTCTTTTATTTTTTAAAAAATTTCATTTATTTATTCCTGAGAGACAGAGAGAGAGAGGCAGAGACATAGGCAAAGGGAGAAGTAGGCTCCCTCTGGGAGCCTGGTATGGACTCAATCCCAGGACCCTGGGATCATGACCTGAGCCGAAGGCAGACGCTCAACCACTGAGTCATTCAGGTGCCCCTGTTTCTAGTACTTCTTTTTTTTTTTTTTAATTTTATAAATTAATTTTTATTGGTGTTCAATTTACCAACATACAGAATAACACCCAGTGCTCATCCCGTCAAGTGTACCCCTCAGTGCCTGTCACCCATTCACCCCCACCCCCCGCCCTCCTCCCCCTCCACCACCCCTAGTTCATTTCCCAGAGTTAGAAGTCTTTATGTTCTGTCTCCCTTTCTGATATTTCTCACACATTTCTTCTCCCTTCCCTTATATTCCCTTTCACTATTATTCATATTCCCCAAATGAATGAGAACATACGCTGTTTGTCCTTCTCCGGTTACTGTGGCCAAGTTCAAAAAGGGTGTTGCCTGAGTTCTCCTCTGGGATTTTGATGGAATCTTGTCTCACATTTAGATCTTTCATCTATTTTGAGTTTATCTTTGTGTATGGTGCAAGAGAGTGGTCCAGTTTCATTCTTCTGCATGTGGATGTCCAATTTTCCCAGCACCATTTATTGAAGAGACTGTCTTTCTTCCAGTGGATCGTCTTTCCTCCTTTATCGTATATTAGTTGACCATAAAGTTCAGGGTCCACTTCTGGGTTCTCTGTTCTGTTCCATTGTTCTATGTGTCTGTTTTTGTGCCAGTACCACACTGTCTTGATGAACACAGCTTTGTAGTACAACCTGAAATCTGGCATTGTGATGCCCCCAGATATGGTTTTCATTTTTAAAATTCCCCTGGCTGTTTGGGGTCTTTTCTGATTCCACACAAATCTTAAAATAATTTGTTCTAAGTCTCTGAAGAAAGTCCATGGTATTTTGATAGGGATTGCATTAAACGTGTAAATTGCCCTGGGTAACATTGACATTTTCACAATATTAATTCTGCCAATCCATGAGCATGGAATATTTTTCCATCTCTTTGTGTCTTCCTCAATTTCAGAAGTGTTCTATAGTTTTTAGGGTATATTTTGAGAACCATTTGAATGGTAAATGGTTCTCCAGCCTTTTATTTTCAGGTTGTAGGTGTCCTTCTGTCTAAAATGAGTCTCTTGTAGACAGCAAATAGATGGGTCCTGCTTTTTTATCCAGTCTGAAACCCTGCGCCTTTTGATGGGGTCATTAAGCCCATTCACGTTCAGAGTTACTATTGACAGATATGAGTTTAGTGTCATCATGATATCTATTTAGTCCTTGTTTTTGTGGATTGTTCCACTGAACTTCTTCTTAAAGGGGAGTTTTAAGAGTCCCCCTTAAAATTTCTTGCAGAGCTGGTTTGGAGGTCACATATTCTTTCAGTTCCTGCCTGTCTTGGAAGCTCTTTATCTCTCCTTCCATTTTGAATGAGAGCCTTGCTGGATAAAGTATTCTTGGTTGCATGTTCTTCTCATTTAGGACCCTGAATATATCCTGCCAGCCCTTTCTGGCCTGCCAGGTCTCTGTGGAGAGGTCTGCTGTTACCCTAATATTCCTCCCCATGAAAGTCAGGGACTTCTTGTCTCTTGCTGCTTTAAGGATCTTCTCTTTATCTTTGGAATTTGCAAGCTTCACTATTAAATGTCGAGGTGTTGAACGGTTTTTATTGATTTTAGGGGGGGATCTCTCTATTTCCTGGATCTGAATGCCTGTTTCCCTTCCCAGATTGGGAAAGTTTTCAGCTAGGATTTGTTCAAATACATATTCTGGCCCTCTGTCCCTTTCGGCGCCCTCGGGAACCCCAATTAAACGTAGGTTTTTCTTCCTCAGACTGTCATTTATTTGCCTTAATCTGTCTTCATGGTCCCTTAATTGTTTGTCTCTTTTTTCCTCAGTTTCCCTCTTTGCCATCAACTTGTCTTCTATGTCACTCACTCGTTCTTCCACCTCGTTAACCCTCGTGGTTAGGACTTCTAGTTTGGATTGCATCTCATTCAATTGATTTTTAATTTCTGCCTGATTAGATCTAAATTCTGCAGTCATGAAGTCTCGTGAGTCCTTAATGCTTTTTTCTAGAGCCACCAGTAGCTGTATAATAGTGCTTCTGAATTGGCTTTCTGACATTGAAGTGTAATCCAGATTTTGTAACTCTGTGGGAGAGAGGGCTGTTTCTGATTCTTTCTTTTGAGGTGAGGTTTTCCTTCTAGTCATTTTGCTCAGGTTTCTAGTACTTCTTGATGCAGGAATTTTTAGTATTAGCCCTTGTTTCAACTCAGAAATATTTTCTAAACATGGAAATTTTAATTTATTTTAATATTTGTTATTTGTTTTCTTTTCTATCATCTGTGTGTTACTCTATTTGCTACTTATTAAAAGTTGTGAAGAGAGTAAGTGAATTTATAGGTAATATTGTCTGATGTTTAAAAACGATTTTTTGTATAATATAGGGCTGACTTCCATAGCAAGCACTTATTAATCACTCACTGAATGCCAAGCATTGAGCTAGGCTCTGGGGACACAAAGATGACAAAGACACTGCCCCTGCCCACCTTTGATTTTCTGGTGATGTTGGGTAAGGTCACTTGTCTTCATGATTATAGTTTTTCATCTGTAAGAATTCTTTTTTTTTTTAATTTTTATTTATTTATGATAGTCACAGAGAGAGAGAGAGAGAGAGAGAGAGAGAGAGAGAGAGAGGCAGAGAGAGCAGAGGGAGAAGCAGGCTCCATGCACCGGGAGCCCGACGTGGGATTCAATCCAGGGTCTCCAGGATTGCGACCTGGGCCAAAGGCAGGCGCTAAACCACTGCGCCACCCAGGGATCCCCATCTGTAAGAATTCTAATTTTGATGCTCCCATCTCAACTAGAGTTTTGTGAGCTTATGATTGTGTAGAAAATATCCTTGAGCTTTCTAGAAGAAAAAAGTTGTTTGAATATCATATGCTGTTTCTCAGGAGATGGGCCAGTCTTGCCAGGCTCCCATGGAAGGGCATATGGAGGTGATTGGCCGTCAATTCTGGTCTCTAGAAGGAATGTAGGGGGAGCTGGTCAAGAGGTTAGACATTGGTAATCCCTAACCTAATGAACTTTAGAATACTTCATGTGTAGCTCCCAAATGATCATAGGGGGTGTCCCTTTCGTTTTTCAGGATAAGCTAAATCTGAAGGAGTCTGATGACCCTGTGAACATGGAAGAAGATCAGGTTCTAAAACCATACTCTGCCCCCACTGACTTTATTGACAAGTTGATGGTGAACTTTGAGAATTTTTTGGAAGAGGTTTCCACAGAGGAACTTGGAAAGAGTCAGGAAAACATTTTGAAAGAGGAAAAGAATAAGCATGTGACTTCTCCATATTGCCTTTATCGTCCTCCCATTTCAACTGAGATTCCACACAGAAAACCCCAGCAGCTGTGTTCTAGAATACCAGAGGGGACCTGCTCAGAAACCAAAGAGCAACTTTTCTCTTCTGTTCAGAGTTTAGGGCCAGACCATCTCTGTGAGGAAGGAGAACCAAATCCATACTTGAAAAATTCAGTGACAACCAGAGAATTTGTCATGTCTGAAAAACTTCAAGACCAAGCCTAAAGAGAAGTTTAGTGTTGCTGTGGCTTGAATCTCTCTGGGTCTCAGTGTGGGTGACTCTTTTTTTTTTTTAATAAATTAATTTTTATTGGTGTTCAATTTACCAACATACAGAATAACACCCAGTGCTCATCCCGTCAAAGTGTGGGTGACTCTTGCAGAGAGAATGTATCATGACTTGCCAGAAGAGCTTCCTTGGCTGTTTCCCCACCCTTGCTTGTGTTAGAGAAACTCTCACATACCCCCAAGGGGCTTCTTGAGCTTGGTTGGCACAGACATGTAACTTGCCTGAGAAGGGGTGATGATACGTCTGAGCATGTTGCCCAGGAAAAAGCAGTTTATTTTTTTCAATTTCACCCTGAGGCCTCTGAAACTGGCTTTAAGGAACAATGGGGCTTCTAAGATGGATATATCTGGCCTTCCCTAGGAATGAGGTCATTGTCAGAGCTTTTGCTGGAGCTACTTCTCAGAGTTCCAGCAGACTTTCCCGGATGTAAAAGGACAGAGGTCTGGTAGGAAGTGAGAGTCTCTCCTTATACCTTGATCTCCCCTGAGCTCTGGCCTCCATCTCCAAGGCAGCACTGAAATCTCACTTTTGAGATTTTGTTTTTCCGTCAATATAGAGGTAGGGGAAATGGAGTGGCCTTCCTGATGGTGTGCCTGCCTGAGGTTTCTTATTAACCTTATAACATCTCAAGTGTTCTGCAGCAGTACCTCCACTCAGGATTCTTGCCAGTAGCTCACAGCACATTGGCTGCTGGTTAATCAAGGAATGTGGGGAGGTCTCAGCAGGGCACTGGGGAGTAGACTCTAGGCTGGGCCAAAAGGTCCACCCCAATCTTAACATTGCCGAGCCCTGGAAACAATTCCTGGAGGCCTTTGCTGCCACTTTCTATTGCACCCAAGCCTGGGAGTAGGAAGGCACTAAACACTGCCTGCTTTTAGACAGTGACTCTGGGCCCTCACACTGGCTCGAGCCTGGGAATGCTTCCTGAGCACAACCTTCAGGGCCTCTTCCCCGAACGACCTGAGTAGGGTGTGGAAACATGGTGCTAAAATTTTGCTGCTCCGTCACCAGGACTCCTCTCTCCTTTGCCTTGGCTGAACACAGAACTTACGACAGTCAAGGGAGCCTTTAGGCCAAGTGCTAAGGGCAGGCAGGATTCAGTTGTCAAGACCTGGCATATTGACCCCAGTGGTGCCAGACGACTTCCTAGTGTGGGCTTTGATTCATCTGGTGGGTCAGGGAGGTGGCAAGAGCCTGGTGAGATGGGGGGAGGCCAGGCAACAAGTGAGCAGCCAAGGGGCTGTGAATCTGGCATTTACCGGCCAGAAAGGCTGACGGTATTTTTTTTTTTTTTTTATAAGAGAGAATAAGAAGTCAGTACTTAGGTAGCAGGCATGCACTTCACAAGCCACCAGTTCAGATGTGCAAAAATATCACTTTCCAGGATCCTGGAATTATAACTGAAATTAATTTCTGGCCCAAGCCCTTGATATTTGGAAATAACCAATTTGGTGATTTTTGAGTGGCTTTGGGTTTGAACTCAGTCACATTCAGGATTTTGACTCCCCTGTCCAACCTGGGGCTGATTGTGAATGCCACAGGATTATTCAGTGGGACCGCAGGGTTTTCTCTCCCGTTTGGTGTCTGCCTAACTCTGGTCTGGGGATGTGCCTATGCCCCCACCTGTTGGGTCACCTGCTGCTTTCCTCAGCCAATTGCTGCATCCTTACCCTGTGCACAAGCAGATGGTGCTGTTCTCCATGAGTTTTCTCCTCATGAAATCTCCAGTGTCCGCAGCACCCTTCCACACACTACACTGCCCCCCACCTGGAACTCTTCACGCCTAGTGTACTGAACAGTGGCTGCTGAGAAGGCAAGGAGTGAGGGAGGCCTGGGGCAGGGCACTGGGGAACCTGCCCCTTTGTACTGGGAGTAGAACGGAGCCAAACAAAAGGGATACCCCAGATCCAGCTGTGGTAGGCTCTCTCTGCTATCTTCCCAACCTATCTGTGGTGACTCAGGCACTTCTATGGGCCCCTGCCCTCCAGAGTTTCAGATGGAGACCTTTCCACCTGTGCCTTTGGACTTGTGCACTTATAGGGAGACACTGGCCTTGTACCCCACAACTGTCCTCTTTCCCGTGGCCATCTGCCCACTCCCACTGAGAGATCTTCACAAATTTTGTAGGGGCAAAGTGGAGGAGGAGGGGAGTGCCTGGAATGAGTTCCCCTAATCTTGTCTGTTTCACACCTAGATGAGATTTTTTTTTAATGTTTGTTTAAATTCAGTTTGCCAATATACAGTACAATACCCAGTGTTGTTTTTTTTTTTTTCAAAGACTTTTAAAATTTATTAGAGCAAGTGAGCACAAGCAGGGGGAGCAGCAGAGGGAGAGGGAGAAGCAGGCTCTCTGCTGAGCAGGGAGCCCAATGCGGGGCTTGATCCCAGGACCCTGGGATTATGACCTGAACTGAAGGGAGATGCCCCTGGATGAAGTTTTTTAACCTAAAACTCAAGAATGAGATGTTTGAGGAGAAAGGAGAGGCCCCAGATGGCTCCTGTGAGTGGGTCTCAGAGACGAAGACATTCCCCTCTGCTCCTCCTCCCTTAATCATTCATTAAAGCCTGAAGTGTCTTCTGGTGGACAGTTGGCATATGCCACACTCCTGGTCCTTCCGCTGCTTCATGCCTCCCTCCCTTCTTGCCTCCTGTCTTTGGCTTTCCTGTCTCTCCCAGGAGCTGTTCATATTTTTAACAGTTACTCTTTTTTCTTTCTTTTTTTAAAATGCATTTTATTTAAATTCAGTTTTTTCTTTCTTCTATCTTCTCTTTTTTTCTTCCTTTTCCACTAGCCTCCTTTTATCATTTTTCATACTGACTTTTGCTGTCTTGAGGGCTAGGGAAACTGGGGCTCTGTGTTGTGTTCTAGATGGGCTGAGATAGGTCATGGGAGTCAGTGTTTCCTGCCATAAGGGGAGCAGGAACCCCAGAAGCTTCTTCAGCAGGCCACACACTGCTCTCCAGAGCAGATTCATAGGACATAGGCCTAAAAGCTACAAGGCCACAGTGGCCTTTCTTTCCTTGGATTGAGTCACAAATTGTCCCCACTCCCAGCATCCTGGGCTGACTCTGGCCTGAAAAAGCCATCTGCATTTTCTCTGTTATATCAAAGAGACGGAACACAAGCAGGAAAACTTGTGTTTCAGTAAGGTCATTAAAAACTGATAACATCCCCAATGAAGTTTTCTGGGGCTCTGGGAATCATGTAAACAGCTATGTCAGTGCCTTATTAATGGCTTTTCTAATAATGCCAGAAAATGTTAAAAGATTGGCAGAAAAGCCACTGTGTGGCTGGGGAAAAAAAAAAAGTGATACTCTCATTGTGGTTTTTCTGGAGGCAGCAAAAACCACACCCAGTACAGACACTATGGGGCCGGGAGGTGGGTTTTGAATAGAGACAGCAGATGGGGAGAGGGAGTTGGGAACAGAGAGGCATCCGGTGTGGGTAGCAGGATGCCCACTGCTGTTCCTCCCTTGTGTGGAGGAAGCCTGTGCCCGGCTGCCCAGACACCCTGAGGGCCTTCTGGCACTCTCTCCTGGCACACCCCTAGTTGTTGCCTGCTGTCTGCAGATTGGCCCTCGGGCTAAAGCTGGACCTTGTTTTTCTAAGGCGCATGACCCAGAAATGATGTTGATATTTTTAAAGGCTGGATAACAAAACCAAAGGAAAAATAATGTTTAATGACATGTGAAAATTCTATGGAATTCTAATTTCAGGGTCCATAAATAAAGCTTAATTGGAAAAGAGCCATGCCCATCTTTACGTATCCTCCGTGTCAGCTTTCCTCCCACCGAGGCAGACCTGAGTTAGTTGTGAGAGAGAATTTCTCCCACAAACCCTAAAATGCTCACCACCTGGCCCCGTACAGGTAAAGTTCGCTCACCGCTGGGTAGCCCACAGACAGGAGGCTTGGACCACACAGTGTTGGCCCACAGAATGTTTTAACTTTGAATTAGCTGCTAATTAAACAAAATGGTCATGATCATTCTGGATTTCTGAGCAGGGACTGCTTCTGTAGGAAGGGCACACACTCTGCTCCCAGCCCAGGCTTCATAACTGCCCACAGCTCAGGTGGAGAGTTGGTGGTTGCCTATCACTCACTCCAGTGGTTCTTGATACAGTTTATTTGGTTTCCCTTCACCTCAAGGTATTTGGCAATGCCTTGAGGTATTTTGGGGAGTGTGCTGCTGGCATCTAGTGGGTAGGAGCCAGCAATGCTGGTAGAGACCCTGCAATGCACCAAATAGCCTCCACAACAAAGAATTATCTGGCCCAAAACCTCAGTAGTGTTGAGATTTAGAAATCCAGGTTGAGCTACCTCTGCCCGCTTGCACGAGTGCTACTCATTGTCCATAGCTGATTCCCCCACCCCCCACCCCCGCTTTTTGAATTTAAAATTTGTTTTGGACTCTCCTGTAACAATACCACCATCAACAACAAAAATCTCTAAACACCAATAATTTGTATCATTTTTAGTCCCTTCCTGATATGATCTGTGTGTACTTATATACGTGTTCATCTCACTGCGTGTTATATATTGATTCTATTGTATTTTACCTTTACTTTCACTTACTATTTCATGTTTCAAATTTCACGCGGGAACATAGTCCATCGTGGTAGCATTATGAATGTACACTCAGGACTCCACGGTGTCCCTGCATACTATGGCTTGCTAAGGCCCCGTGTTTGATAGGATTGTTTTAAACATCATCTTTGTATAGAGAGCAACTTCAATAGATGTTGTTCTTTGCACACTTCCCTTTCCTACCTTTGTCCTAACTCCTCGGGGGCTCTTTCTTAAGGTAGATTTGCTGGATCAAACTTTTATAGTTGTTGTCACATATTGCATAACTCTGTTCCCCAAGAAAGCTACAATGGTTTGCAATATCGCCAGGGGTATCTGGGGTATCCTTTGACTTTGCTATTGATAATCAACCATTTACTGCTGTACACTGGATTTTGTCAATTTATTGGATATGGTTAATGACACTTAATAGTTATTTGTGTTGTTTAAGTCATTGTGAAGACAAAGTTTTCCCGTGTGTATTTTACAGTCTGCATGTCCACCTGCTGACATTACAGAATGTTCTACCTCCAAGCCATTGGGGCATTGAGAGACCAGCTGAGCTGCTAGGCATTTGAAGCCCTCAGCCAAACTTTACAACAATGGGTTGACTTTGTCATTTGGTTGACTACTTAAAATATGTGGGTTTTGTAGGGCATTCAAAAGGAAATTTCACATTGATGTGTTTCCTGTTAGTGACAAGGCCTATTTGTAATTGTAACACGGGACATTATCTGTGTCTTGTGCTTTTGGGGGGTGGACCAATTATGACAATGCCATTAGCAGTTCTTGTCATGTTGCAGCTTTTACTCAACACTGGGGTCAGCGGGGAGCGAGTTTGCTCAGAAGTGCAAACGGCCCCAGTCCATGTTGGTGAAAGCCTGGAGGTGCATGGCCCTTGCTGCTGAGAATGGTGTGAGAGAAGGCAAGGGGAGGAAGCCCACGAGAGTGCAAAGGCAGCAGTCACAAGCCTCAGATGGTCATTCAAGGGAATCTAGGCGCACATACTACTGATTTCATTTTTAGGAGCGGGATTCTCTGTTCTGCCCAACCTCACTGTGTGTGTGAGCTAAAATGCCAGGAAAGTAGCCTGTGGCCTGGACTTTGAAATAGAAGTCAAAATGGGCGAAGCAGAATGGACACGCAGAATGTTCTGAATGATTGTAATGCAGAAGGCCAGACCTGTGTGCCAAGAGGAGCACTCTCTGTAGGCTCTGCATGCTGTCTTTCCCATGTATTGTTCAGAAATTGATACCGTATGTAATGCATGTGCGTGACAGTTCGTCCTCCTAAGCAGAATATGAAAAGGAGGTGCTATAATGCGAATAGCCTTTAAAATGCTTTACGGTAAGCACATCTGTATTTCAATCTTTCAGGTAATAAAACTGTAATAACATTTTCATGTAAAGCTATGCTACTGTTTTAAAGTTTTACCCACTCCGGTGTTTAAAATGAGACTTCAAAATGTAAATATCCACCTCTGTTAAAGATCAAGGGAGTCGGGATCCCTGGGTGGCGCAGCGGTTTGGCGCCTGCCTTTGGCCCAGGGCGCGATCCTGGAGACCCGGAATCGATTCCCACGTCGGGCTCCCGGTGCATGGAGCCTGCTTCTCCCTCTGCCTGTGTCTCTGCCTCTCTCTCTCTCTCTCTCTCTCTCTCTCTCTCTGTGACTGTCATAAATAAATAAAAATTAAAAAAAAAAAAGATCAAGGGAGTCTCTTGATGACGGACCCACAGAAGAGCAGGAATCAGACATATGGAATTGCTCCTGCCAGCATACCTCTCGCCGGGGATTCGGCTGCGCCTCACCCTGCTTCTCTACTTGATTCCCAGGGGCAGCATTTTCAATCCTAGCTCCTCAAGTTCCCTCAGCATCTCCCCTCACGGCTCTCAGCAGATGATGTGTTTCCCCTACTCACAGGGGATGCACCAGCCCATCTGTCCTCCCCTCAGGCCAGACTTCTGGGAAGGTCTCAGAGGCAGAGGGGGCCCTGCTTGTATACCTCCCTCCCTCTGGCTCTCGTTACTTTCAACTTCTCTCTCTCTCTCTCTCTCTCTTTTTTTTAAGATTTTATGTATTTATTAGAGACACAGAAAGAGAGGCAGAGACACAGGCAGAGGGAGAAATAGGCTGCAGGCAGGGAGCCCGAAGTAGGACTCGATCCCACGACCCTGGGATCACACCCTGAGCCAAAGGCAGGCGCTCAACCGCTGAGCTGCCCAGGCGTCCCTCAACTTCCCTATATTGAGTGAGTCCTTCCCATCAGTTTCCATAAACATTGCTCAGGTCACTTCTATGTTAAAAGACAACAAAGTGTTCATCTGCTCTGCACCTCTGGCTGCCTGCCAGTTCTCTCCATGGGTCAGCCCGTGGTTTTGGGGGAGATCAGGCCATGTCCCACGTAGCTGCCCAGGGGGCGATGACCGATGGTAGAGGCTCTGGGGCATTCGCATGCTGGCACCCCAGCTTTGCCAGGCCACACTCCGGTGGGATTCGGACAGAGGCCGATAACACAGCAGGGATTCTCTGGCTTATTCTCACCACCAGGGCCCCAGAACCCAGCAACAAAGCCCTCTTTTGTAGGGTTACATGGCTACCTGGTTGTCCCTCGTGCCCAGCGCTGCCCCCGGCTCCTGAAGTGCTGTGCGGAGCAGGGCTGTGGTTGGAGCCCAGCTGAGTGGGACCGAGGTGTCTGCCCGGGCGTGGGTCCTCCCGCGACAGAACTCCCAAGTCCCAGTAAACCCGGGTAGTGTGATCCTCTCCTGTAGCTCCTCAGGCCTCTTGCCTTGTTTAAAGTTCTGTACTTGTGCTGGTGTCACCTTCTGTCTGACACGTGCGCTTGCTCCCAGAGCCTCAGGCAGCTTGTGCTCTGTGACAGCACCCTCGGGGAGCCCATCCTCCAACTGGGGCATAAGCTGGTGTTGTGAGCGGGGCCTGTTCCTGGTTCGCTTGCTCATCGGCCTCCAGTAAGGATCCAGTGTTCCTCCCTATTGCCATGATGCTCCTTGTGACCCCAGCTGGCCCCGTCAGTACATCTAGTCATGTCACAGAAAATTGCCCCGTGACACATTCAGTCCTTTTTTTTTTTTTTAAACCAGCAACAAAATGGGATCTCCTCTTGCTTCACTCCTATAGCCAGGGTCCATTCTAACCTGCTTTTGCCATTGATCCAGCTGGGCTTGGGACCACAGACCTCAGGATTTGCTCTGTTCCATGTCCTAGGATGACCTAGGCCCCCATCCTTCCTGAGCGGCACTGGTGTCCTAGAAGCATCTGCTCCTCCCAACAGACCACAGCCCTGCCACGCCATTGGCAAAGCCTGCTGTGAGCAAACTTGTACTCCCCTTGGGTTTGTGATTAGCCCCCTCAGATTAGATCGGTCAAATCCCTTCCCCTGCAGCATGATGACGAATAGGTTCATTTCTGGCTGGCCTGCCAGCATTGTGCTTCAGCAGTTGGGGCCTGTTGGTTGGGGTTAATAAATATCCTAAAACCTGGGCCTCCTGAGCTTGCAGAGATGTTAGGGAGCCTGCCTACTGTCAACTATATCGAAGCTTCCACTCACATTACATTTTTTTCCATAAACATTTTGTAAGGGTTTTTATGTTTTGCTTTTGAAATTACTTGACTATATGTAACTTTATTATATGATTACATTTCTCAGCAATCATCCTATATCTATAGGGATTCTTTTTTTTAAAATTTTATTTATTTATTCATGATAGAGAGAGAGAGAGAGAGAGAGAGAGAGAGAGGCAGAGACACAGGCAGAGGGAGAAGCAGGCTCCATTCCATGCATGGAGCATGACGGGGGACTCCATCCCGGGTCTCCAGGACCACACCCGGACTGAAGGTGGCGCTAAGCCACTGAGCCACCCAGGCTTCCCTCTATAGGGATTCTTATAACTTTTTACCAACATAACGTTTTTATAACTTCTAAAATAATGAAGTTGATATTTTGTTTTATAACCACTTACTCAAATACCCTTCAATTTTAAACTTAGCAATGCTCTTTTCTTGCTAAGGATGTGAATGTTTTCGTAGGTCCTTGAAAAACTCCCCGGCTTTAGATACTGTACCTCTGGTATCAGAGTATAGACTATCTCTGCCTGAGTGTTGTAAATGAAAATACACAACTGGCATCTAATTAGAAACTGCTGTGGATGCCAACATCTTAAAAATGGAACCTGAAACAAAATGGGGCACCATTGTTTCCTTGGGGCAGGGTGGTTCCAGGTGGAGGGCCTTGGGGTCAGGAGTCAGCTCGTGTTGTGGGTGGGGAAGCAGGACAGTACTGCGCGGCTGATGGGATCCAGGTGTAGGTTCTCTACCGTCCACATTTCTAAGTGAAGCCTGGCTGTTAAATGGATGCATAAACAAGTTATGCTGATGGGCCCTTTCTGAGTTGGATAAACTGGGGCCTGGTGAGCAAGTGTGAGCCTTTGTGTGAGTCTGCCTCCGCCCATCACCTGGGCCCCTCACTCTCTCATTTGGGGCTCACTCTCACCCCAAATTAAGGCCACACCCATATGGTTAGAGTACTGAAGCCTGCATCTGTGCAGGGTGTGGGTTGGGGTGGTATCTGAGGTTAATTCCCCAGAAGCAAACACTGAGACACAAGTTCAGGTGACTAATTTACTAGGGGCACATTCCCAGGAAAAACTGGTCAAGGAGTGAGGGAAGGCTTAGAGGGGAGGGGAAGAAACCAAATATGGTGGGATTTCAAATGCCATTGGAGGGCAGCGCCCTCCTCCCCACACCTGCCCTGATTCTGGGGGGACGTTAGAGGTAAGTAACTGGGTTCCTGGAGTGTGTCACCAGTCAAGGCAAGGGACTTGAGTTTTCACACTCCTAAACCCCTCAGTCACTGCTAAGGGCTTCTTCACTGGATGTGTAACTTTTAGGCACTTTTGGCTCCATATAGAGGTGGAGGAGGCCAGCCACCCAATGGGAGCTTTGGGGCCAGGTGACAGAAAAAAGCTCTCAGATGTTGGATGCTGGTAGGTTGGGAGGTATCCTGGTAAGGCTGTCAGATTTAGCGACTAAAAATGCATATGTTTTGTTTTTAAAGAAAGAACATGCTCACAGGAGCATGGGGGAGGAGCAGAGAGAGGGAGAGAGGGAAAGGGGAATGGGAGAGAGAGAGAATCTTAAGCAGGCTTCGGGTCCAGCCTGGAGTCCCACATGGGGCTTGATATCAAGACCCTGTGATCATAATCTGAGCCGAAATCACAAGTTGGATGCTCAATGGACTGAGGCATCCAGGAGCCCCCAGGATGTGTTTTCTAACATGCAGCAGATTCTTTGGTCTGTGTGTGTTGGTCAAAGCTTGTGTTATTTAATATTCCCATGGCAGTCCTGTAAGAACAATCCTCTATTGTTAAGAGTTCGCAGCAGAAGCATTTCCGTTAAACTGCCTCAGCTTTGCTGCTTGCTCATCTGTCTGTGGTCTGGCACGAGCCCCTCAACCTCAGCTTCTTTAATCTATAAACTGTTGTGGGGGGGGGATAGTATTAACACTGCATACAGTTAAGGAGAGATGAAATGAAGACATGATTGGAGCTTAATGCAGGGCATGGCACAGAGTACGTCCCCAGTGAATAACATATGGTTATTGTTGTTTTTCAAAATAATAAGCTTCTGCATAGTGAAAGAAACAACAATGCTAAAAGGCAGCCTATGGAATGGGAGAAAATATTTGCAGATGGCATACTTGATAAAGGATTAGTATCCAAAATACATAAAGAACTGACACGACTCAACACCCCAAAACCAAATAATCCATTTAAAAAAGAGCAGAAGACACAAAAAGACATTCCAAAGAAGACATTCAATGGCCTCAATACCACTTAACATAAGGGAAATGCAAATCAAAACTGCAATGAGATAATCACTTTACACCTGTCGGAGTGTCTAAAAAAACACAAGAAACATCAAGTGTTGCTGAGGATGTGCAGAAAAAGGAGTCCTCTTGCAATGTTGGTGGGAAGGCAAACTGATGCAGTCACCATAGAAAAGTGTGGAGGTTCCTCAAAAAGTTAAAAAGAGAACTACCCTATGATCCAGCAATGGCACTCTTGGCTATTTATCCAAAGAATACAAAAAACACAAATTCAAACTTGAAACACTTGAGGCAAATATGTTGTATGTTAACTAGTCTTCAATTAGAAAATGTTCAGAGGGAGCTGGGTAGCTCAGTTTGTAGTGCATCTGGCTCTTGGTTTCAGCTCAGGTCACAATCTCCTGGGTCCTGGTGATAGCCTACTGTTTTTGAATTTAATGCGAGTTCTCTGTGCTTCTTGGATTTTGATGTCTGTTTCCTTTCCCAGATTTGGGAAGTTTTCAGCTATAATTTGTTCAAACAAGTTTTTATTTCTTTTCTTTTTCTGGGACTC